TGAGTTTTAAAATTAGGAAGTGTGAGTCCTCCAGTTTGGTTCTTCTTTTTCAAGTCTGTTTTATATTTTCTGTGCCTCTTACATTTCTATAATAATTTTAGAACCTGGTTATCAATTCTGCAAAAGCCAGCTGGGATTTTAATAGGGAGTGTAAATCAACTTGGGAGCCCAGCCATGTTAACACGATCGAGTCTTAGAATCCATGAATATAGGACATCTTTCCATTTATTTAGGTCTCTCAATTTCTTTCAACAATATTTTGTAGTTTTACAGTATAAGTTTTGTACCTCTTTTGTTAAACTTATTTCTAAGGATTTTATTATTTTTGATACTATGGTACACGGAATTGTTTCTTAGTTTCATTTTCAAGTTGTCCACTGCAAAGGTTTAGAAATATTAATACAATTGATTTCAGCTGGGCATGATGGCTCACACCTGTAATTCCAATACTTTTGAGGCTTAGGCCAGAGGAGCACTTGAGTCCAGGAATCCTAAGTTACAGTGAGCTATGATTGGGACACTGCACTGCAGCCTGGATGACAGAGAAAGATGCTGTCTCCAAAAAAAAAAAAAAAAAAAAAAAAGAGATTATGTCAGCTGCAAATAGCAATAGTTTTACTTCTTCCTTTACAATCTGGATGCCTTTTATTTCTTGTTTTTGCCTAACTGTCCTGGCTGGAACCTCCAGTACAATGATGCATAGAAATGGTGAGAGCAGGTATCATTGTTGTTCATTTTAGAGGGAAAGCATCCAGTCTTTTACAATTAAATATAATATTGCTTGCAGATTTTTTGTCCAAGCCTTCTTCCAGGTTAAGGAATTTCCCTTTTTTTCCCAGTTTGTTGATTGTTTTTATCATGAAAGGGTTCAAGGAAATTTCCATATTTATTAAGTTATTTCCTACCGCTCCCTTAAACCAAATTGGTGTGAGTTAGGAGTTAGTGCAATAATCTGCCTTCTCTATTCCTATCCCAGATAAGAACACTGCCTGGAGAAAAAACACACAACAGATTTATGCTGTGGACCAGATCATGTACTCCAGCCTCCGCTCCAGCCTCCTTCCTGCCATTTTCCTTGCTCACTGCTATCTGACATTGTGGTCTTTAGAATCATCAAAACACTGGGTTCCAACCTGCAATTGCACATGCTGTACCTCCTCTTCTTTTCACTCTCACCTGACATATACCTACAACCTCTGGTCTTCAGCTCAAGGGCTGTTTCCTCAACTGATTTCATAATTTCCATACTCTTCTTTCCAGCAGTGCTTAAAATGTGCATGTGCGCACACACATTTGTGTAGTAGGGAAAATATGTATTTGCCCCACTAGATTTCTTTCTTTTTTTTTTTTTTTGAGACAGAGTCTCACTTTGTTGCCCAGGCTAGAGTGAGTGCCGTGGCATCAGCCTAGCTCACAGCAACCTCAGACTTCTGGGCTCAAGCAATCCTCCTGCCTTAGCCTCCCGAGTAGCTGGGACTACAGGCATGCGCCACCATGCCCGGCTAATTTTTTCTATATATATTAGTTAGCCAATTAATTTCTTTGTATTTATAGTAGAGACAGGGTCTCACTCTTGCTCAGGCTGGTTTCGAACTCCTGACCTCGAGCAATCCACCCGCCTCGGCCTCCCAGAGTGCTAGGATTACAGGCGTGAGCTACCGCACCCGGCCGCCCCACTAGATTCCATGCTCCATGAAGTTATCATTTAAAAAAATACATACATCATGGTTGTACATATTTGGGGGGTACATGTGATATTTTCATACATGTATACAATCTGTAATGATCAAATCAGGATAATTGGGATAGCACCTGAAACATTTATCTATCCTTTGTGTTGCAAAAATTATAATTCTTCTCTTCTAGCTATTTTGAAATATATAATCAATTATTGTTAACTATTATTTTTCTACTGTACTATTGAATATTAGAAATCATTCCTTCTATTTAACTGTATTTTTGTACCATTAACCGACTTTTCTTCATCCCTCCACCTTCTGCTTCTGGTAACCACCATTCTCTCTACTTCCATGAGATGCACCACCCATATATGAGTGAGAACATATATATATGTTCTCATATATATATTTTAGCCCCCATATATGAGTGAGAACATGAGATATTTGCCTTTCTATACCTGTCTTATTTCATTTAACATTATGACCTCCAGTTCCATCCACATTGCTGCAAAGGACAGAATTTCATTTTTTATGGCCAAATACTATTGTATTATGTATATGGACTTATGTTTTCTTAATCCATTCACCTTTTGGACACGTAGGGTGACTCCATATCTCACCTATTGTGAATAGTGCTACAATAAAGATGGGAGTGGAGAGCTCTTTGATAATTTATTTCCTTTGTTTTGGACATATGCCCAGCAGTGGGACAGCTAGATCTTTAGCAGTTTTTAGTTTGTTGAATAACCTCCATATTATTTTCCATAATGGTGGTACAAATTTACATTCCCACTCACAGTGTAAGAGCATTCTCCTTTCCTCGTCAGCATTTGGTACTTTTTGTCTTTACTAGCCATTCTAACTGTAGTGAGATATTTCATTGTGTTTTGTTTTGTTTTAGAGACAGGGTCTCCTTCCATCACCCAGGCTGGAGTGCAGTAGCAGGATCATAGCTCACTGTAGCCTTGAACTCCTGGGATCAAAGGATCTTGGCCGGTGCGGTGGCTCACGCCTGTAATCCTAGCTCTCTGGGAGGCTGAGGCGGGCAGATTGCTCAAGGTCAGGAGTTCAAAACCAGCCTGAGCAAGAGCGAGACCCCGTCTCTACTATAAATAGAAAGAAATCAATTGACCAACTAATATATATAGAAAACATTAGCCGGGCATGGTGGCGCATGCCTGTAGTCCCAGCTACTCGGGAGGCTGAGGCAGAAGGATCGCTCGAGCCCAGGAGTTTGAGGTTGCTGTGAGCTAGGCTGACGCCACGGCACTCACTCTAGCCTGGACAACAAAAAAAAAAAAAAAAAAAAATTCAAAAAAAAGGATCTTCCCACCTCAGCCTCCTGAGTAGCTAGGACTACAGGAATGTTTTCCCATGCCTGGCTAATTTTTTAAAAATAATTTCAGTAGGCCAGATGCGGTGGCTCACGCTTATAATCCTAGCACTCTGGGAGGCCGAGGCAGGAGGATCGCTCAAGGTCAGGAGTTCAAAACTAGCCTAAGCAAGAGTGAGACCCCGTCTCTACTAAAAATAGAAAGAAAATAATTGGCCAACTAAAAACATATAGAAAAAAATTAGTCGGGCATGGTGGCATGTGCCTGTAGTCCCACCTACTCGGGAGGCTGAGGCAGAAGGATTGCTTGAGCTCAGGACTTTGAGGTTGCTGTGAACTAGACTGATGCCACAGCACTCTAGACAGGGCAACAGAGCCAGACTCTGTCTCAAAAATAAATAAATAAATAATTTTAGTAGAGACGAGGTCTTGCTATATTGCCCAGGCTGGTCTCAAACTCCTGGCCTCAAATGGTCATCTTGCTTCAGCCCCACCCCAAGCACTGGGATTACAGGTGTGAGCCACCAAGGTGGCCTCACTGTGGCTTTGATTTGCATTTTCGTGATGATTATTGATGTTGAACATTTTTTCATATATCTGTTGGCCATTTGTTTGTTACAACCTCAAATTCCTGGACTCAAGCCATCCCCTTCCTTCAGACTCCCAAGTAGATGGGACTACAGGCACAGACCAGGACACCCAGCTAATTTTTCTATTTTTAGTAGAGACAGGGGTCTCACTGTTGCTCAGGCTGGTCTTGAACTCCTCACCTAAAGGAATCCACCCACCTTGGCCTCTCAGAGTGCTAGGATTATAGGTGTGAGCCACCGAGACCAGTCTATTCCCTCATTTTTTAAAATCACTGTCTACAAAGCAGCTAGCCTGGCAAATGTTCATAAAATGATTTCAAGCAACACTTAAATGTATAAACATAATAGTAACTGTAAACAGGATAAAAAACTACCCAATGATCCCAATTTGAGGAGAAAATGAATATGCATGGGAAAAAAGTCAAAGAAAATACATGAATTAGGAAGGCAAAAAGTATTTGTATTTGTTTAAAAGAAAAAAAAACTAGAGCCAGGCATGGTGGCTCACTCATGTAATCCCAGCAACTCCAAGATCTGGGGATCTCTTGAGCCCAGGAGTTGGAGGCTGCAGTGAGCTACGACCTCACCACTGCACTCCAGCCTGAGTGACAGAGCGAGGCCCTGTCTCAAAAACAAAACAAAACAAAAAACCCTAGATGGAAACACAATAAACTAACACAAATAGTAACCTGTGGAGGGATAAGGAGCAAGGATTTTCTAACGTTTACATATTTTTAATTCCGTTTTAATTTTTTAATCATTATATTACCTAACCAAAACCATTAACTATTTGCAGGGCAGAAAATACACTAAAGCAACATTAATAGTGGTTATCCCGGAAGGGTGGAAGTAAGGTATTGTTTTTTACTTCTACACTTTTATGATTAGAAAAAGGACTAACTTTTTGGAAAAGCTCTTTGGCGACCTCGGAGAGCATTGTTTCCGTGGAGTCAGGAGCAAGGAGAGCCGGGATGCAAAGCCAACGCTAGTAGATGATGTGATGGGTTTGTTTCCAGATGGGAAAGACCAGAGAAAACATGTTTATGTGCTGCGGGCAAAGAACCACCAGAGAGGGAGAGGTTAGAAACGCAAGCAGAGGATGCGGAGAAGAGGCGACTTCACTCCTGTGGGCTGGTGCGCAAGGCGAAGGAGCTCCTGCTCAGTTTGCGTTGACTTGAAAGTACGAGAGGAGAGAAGGAAAAGGGGACTGCCAGTCTGTTGTGACTGCTGCGGAGAAGAAAAACTAGGACGAGGTGGCTTGCCTTCTACTATGGAAACCGCATCACCAGCAGACAGCAACGAACCCACCCCACCGCAGTGGTCAGCCGAGTCCCTCCTGTAGTCTGTGCGCCGCGGCGCTAGGCGGAGGCGCGCGCAGGAAGGGGCGGAGCTGCGTGCGTGGAGCCCCGTGCGCGGATCTCGCGAGAGCGGTAGAAGGCGGAAGCGCAATCCGTGCAGGATGCGGTTCCTGGTTGCGTTGGTCCTGCTGAGCGTTGCGGCGGCGGGTAAATCCCCCTACGCCCCCATCCCAATCCCACTCTTGCCTCCTGGCCAGCTGTTCTCTCCTCGCCCGGTCGCTATCTGGGCTCGCTTCTTCCCTGCCCGACCCACCTCTCTGCTTGTCACCGTCCCCCGCCCCACCCCCCACCTCTGTTCGCCGGTTTTCCCTTATATCTTCCAGCTCTGGGATATGCCTTCTTCTGGCCTGCCCTTCTCCAGGGGTAACTGTTTTCTTTATTTCTGTAGACTTGACCAGCATCCTGCCGCCAATCACCAGAAGTACGTCCTCCGGGTCTGTAAGTCGACCACCACCTCAAGGAAGCGACTCCATTCAGCCCACCTCGAGCCAGCTGCCTAACGAGGAACATCTTTCTGATCCACTTGTTCAGAACGTGTCTTCCACGAGAGATGTCTCTAACAGCTCAGTTGTGGAGCAGCCGTCTTCTCAAGAAGGCGGCTCCAGTAGGTCAAATTTGGACTCACATCCCGCGAAAGACAACTCCAAGCCCCCCTCCATCCTCTCATCTGATAACAAGGACGCCCCCAACATAAACCAAGTAGCTGATGGAGAGACGTCTCCGAATGCTCCCAGAACTGAATCTGGGGAGAAAGTGTTAATGGACCCTGACCTCACTTCTTCCAAGCAGGAGGAAGATAAGTCTCCAGAGCCTGCTGAAGATGCGGAGCCCAAAGATGCTGAAGAAGGTGATACAGAGCCTGAAGAGGGCTCACCACCCAAAGAAGAGAAAGAAAAGGTGTCTGGCCCTGCCTCCAGTGAGAACCGGGAAGGGATACTTGTGGATCCCATGAGTAGCGAGAAGGATGACCTTTATAAGGACAATGTTGCAAATGCCAGTGCAGAGAGCAGCCACTTCTTTGCATATCTGGTGACTGCAGCCATTTTTGTTGCTGTCCTCTATATTGCTTATCACAACAAGCGAAAGGTAAGTCAAGAGTTGCCTTAGGGAGAGGAATGGGATTTCCTCCACCCTGTAAACTTGGCCATGGGGGTGGGTATCCATCACTCATCTGCCTGCAAGAACAGGGAATTTTAAGACAAACTTCATTTTTTCCTCACACTCTACTAAACTCTTAACTCTTGTTTTGTAAGTCGTGTTTTACATCATCTGTTTCCTACAAGTGCTCTCTGCTGCCACACTAGGTGCCAAGTTGAGATGTTGTTATGGTCTGACCTGAAGTGGGGTCTCCTCTCATAATCTTGAACTTAGATCCTTTACAGCCTCAGTGGACCTGAGTGCTTGACAGAGCCATTATCTTCCAACCTAATTTCCATTCTTGAGACAATGCATCATTTATAGCTTTCTTTCCCAGCATTCTTTTATTTTCAGTGGCTTAAATAATGGTTTCAGTTATTTAGTCTTTGATACAAAAAGCTAAGAACCCAGGAACTCTCTTCTGCAATCAGTAATAATTAGAAGAAAGCCCAGAAATTGCACCGAAACATGTATCTTTTACTTTTTCAGCAGAGTTTGGTAACCTTGGCAACCACTCTAATGACAAAATGTTTGTATTTCATATTGAGCCCCAGGAATTTAGAAGATAGTTTCTATATAGCCTGTTGAAAATTGGAGAGTCCAGTTTAATGATTGCCATAAGAATAGAGGAAGACCTTCAATAAAAATGTGCATTTCTTATTCTACATCTAAGTGTTTACCATGGAGAGTGATAACGTTAAGAGTGTAGTTGTTGATGAAGTAAAGTGTGGGATGAAATAGTACATTTATAGATAGGAAACAATTTCTTTTTTTTTTTTTTTCCGGAAATCCCCACAAAGATGAAAGGAAACAATTTCTGATTATGATTTTTCTAAAAAATGAAATGTCCTATTCGACAACTCCTTAGAGAGGAGTTGGCAGATCTTTGACTGAGTACCTTTGAATAAATCATACAGGCTCCCTCAAGCTAGAGTTCAGACAGCCTTCCTTCATCTGTTGTTTCCTATTAAGTAGTATAAAGGATTCTGACTTAAAATCGTTATAGTTTAAATAGGCCTCTTTGTGGGTGTACTGCTCTTTCTATAGTCAGAATCATTAATATGTGTACTATTACCACGTGACTACCTTTGATTTTAGAGACTGAAATATGTTATTACAGAGCCACCTGTGAATCATTTTCGTTTACCTTTTTTCAGATTATTGCTTTTGTCCTGGAAGGAAAAAAATCCAAAGTCACTCGGCGGCCAAAGGCCAGTGACTACCAACGTTTGGACCAGAAGGTAAGGAAAGAGGAGCCAGATCCATGGGAGGGATATGCAGCCTCAGGTAGATAGTAGTGGGCTTGCATTTGGCTCAGTAGCAGTGGCTGGATCTGGAAGAGCTGTTGCCATTGTCCCTGCCTTTGTCAGACCACAAACTAGAAACATCCATATGTACATATCTACAGTATTAGAGCTAGAGGAGACCTTTAAGTATACCACAACAGCTTCCTCCCTCTATACATGAGGAAACAGTCCACTCAGAACCGCTGTGATTTTTTTTCCTAAGTTTCTACTACAAGTTAGTGGCAAATCCAGGACCATATCACAACTCCCTAGATTCCTAGTCCTGAGCTTTTTGTACTCCACCAGTACCTCACAAACTTTAATAAGCATATGGATCACCTTGGGAATTGTGATAAAAAGTAATATCTGATTCACTAGGTGTGGGGTGGAGCCTATGTTTCTACATCTTTACAGAGCTTTCAGGTGACACCAAATGCTGCTGTAACCATACTTTATGTGGCAAAACACTAGACTATACTCCTTGGAAACAAACATGCACAGAAGCACATAGGCTTCCACCTCTCCACATCATCCCTGTGTATTAAGCATTGTGAGCCAGAGCTCCTGACAATAGCCAGTCCTTCCACCCCATGGCAGCAGAGCTAAACAAGGGTCTTTCTCTAAAAGCAAGCTGTGTAGGCAGGAAGACTGTACTCACTGTGTTGCTACCAGCACGTACCCAACCTTCCCCGTTTTGTATAGTAACAAGGAGGACACTGGCAAAGAATACTTGGTGGCCCAACTATGAATTGTTCCCAGACTTCCTATAGGGGACATGATTCACTTGTACAGCTCATATCAGCTACAGAACAAGGCACTGAGTCAGAACATCTTTGCTGACTAGTCCGATAGGTGACCTTGTAAATTTAGCTTTGGCATATGACCTTCCCAGATAGCTGATCTTAAGGAATTTCCCTTCTATATTAGGATTTTTTTATTGGGAAAAAATGCAAGTAAATAGTTCAAAAAAATACAGAACAGTATGGAGCAGAAGCCAGGATTCCCATACCTTTCCATCAAGTGTATATCTTACTAGTATTTGCTTTATTTCACACTAGCTTTAAAAATATTTTTTTTGTGGCCAGGTGTGGTGGCTCACGCCTGTAATCCTAACACTATGGGAGGCCAAGGCAGGCAGATTGTTTAAGCTCAGGAGTTCCAGACTAGCCTTAACAAGAACAAGACCCCGTCTCTACTAAAAAAAATTTTTTATATATATATATATAAAATTAGCCAGGCATGGTGGCACATGCCTGTAGTCCCAGCTACTTGGGAGGCTAAGGCAGTAGGATTGCTTGAGCCCAGGAGTTTGAGTTTGCTGTGAGCTAGGCTGATGCCATGACACTCTAGCCTGGAAAAGAGAGTGAGACCCTGTCTCAAAAAAAATATTTTTTTTTGCTTTTATATTTAATTGCTGTTTGTATGGCAGTGGGTCAGTTTGCCTTAATTGTGAATTTTTTTCCTGAACTGCAGGTCCCAAAAGATCCTTTTTTTTTCCCCCAAAGTCATAATGGTATGGTATATCCTTCTGGAAAAAGGTGAATGTTACCAATAGATTGTGTTGCTCTCATTTCAGCTTTGATTTTTTTCATCCTTGAGAACCTTGTCGTCCCTGCTGATCTGTTTGTATGTCAAGAGAAATGAAGAAAAAAGTACTGTGACCTAAGAAACACCCTCGTCTGGGGTTCTGTGGCAAGTCTGGGCTGGCGGGGGCGGGGGTTGCTTCAGGGTTTGCACCTGCACTTTGGTGACATTGTTCTCCTGTGTTCCCTTTGTTTCTGCTGGTGGCTTTCATCCTTTCTTGCTGTGCGTGCGCCTGGAGGGAACATGTGGAAACACGGCTGTGACCAAAGGGAGATGCCAGCCTGGGCAGGCTGTGCTGCTGACCACCCTCCCTGGGGCCTTGGCTCTGTGCTGTAGTTAGCCCTTGAGTGTGGCATTGCACTCTCTACTGTCCGTCTCTGCACACCTAGGAGGCAGCTGCAGGTAGAGGTGCTTTGCTACTGAGGCCTCTTACTTTGGGAGGGATGTGCCCTAAAAAGACCTAGAAGATGGGGAAATGCTGATGGGCAAAGGGCTACTTTGAACACAACATTCTCTTAAAGGCTTCAGCAGTAACCTGCAATAGGAGGCTAAAAGTGTGCTTTGTTGCCTGCAAGTCTAACCTGTCTAGCATGAGTTCTTCACTTTAAGTATGATTTGAAACTGTGATCTTTCATACAACCATACTCAGTAGAAACTTTTTGAAATAGGGCGAGTTCATGCTTCATGCAAGGAAACATGTTAGGAGAGTTTTGGTTATGGTCTGCAGTTTTTTCACAGGGCTTTTGTGAGCTAGGTTTCCCATAAACTGCATTTTGTCTTTGTTGCCTAAAATAGACACAGTTGAGTTTTATATAGAAACCAGTATACTCTCTGAGCATTTTACCTTAACCTATCCGATGGTCCTCTCATCTGGTATAAGATGCCAAGAGTAATTAGTAAAAATTCTCTTTCCCTCCCATGTCATGAATTATTAAAATCTAAGATATTTAGTGGGTTCCTCTGGGATATGTGAAGGTTGTGTCTTGGATCACATTGTCATTTGAAGTTTTGTTTAAATCTGTTCTGGTCATGTTCTGCCCTGTTATAGAGAGCCTAAAGAGTTGTTTCTGAGCTAATCTCAGGGGAATACAAAGAATGTGGGAGGTGATGGAAATATGATGAATTCTGTGCTGTCGAGACAGTAAGTCTACAGTAGGGACCATCCTGATTATCTTCCACCTTGCTTAAAACAGCCCATGGCTTTACGTTGAAATTTTCATTCTTGGCAGATAGCCTACTCTACGGAGGTGAGAAATGAATGCCCACTCTTCTTGGATCATTCTCTGTACTGGTGCACCAGTGTTACAGTACTTTCCTCCAACCTGAGGAACCTTCTGTCAGGCTCTAGTATTCCCTAGGACCACAGTGACTTCAGTCCCCCCTTCCCTGTCTTTCCCCTCCCCTCCCGTGTTTCCTATTCAGGCCTATCTACACTAGCTCCTTTCCTTCTACCTTCAGGCCCAGCCAGAGTTCCCTACTCCAGTCTGTCCTGCTTGCAGTTCCTTCGTCTGCTCAACTTCTCCGTCAAGTATTGCTTCTCTTACTTTGCCATTCATAATTTTTCATGACTTTTATAAACTCACTTTGGTCCCGGTCTTCCTCTGTGCTTTCCCAAAGTTTACCAGTTAGCAGATCGTCAAATCCAATGGCTTGTTCTCAAAGCTGTCTTGTCCTTGGTGGAATCAGACACTATTGGCCATCCAAATGGAAATTCCTCTTTCTGGGCATCTCTGACAAATTGTCCTTTGCCTTACCCTGTGCTGGTGGGGAAGAGGCCCTCAGAGCCAGGCCTCTCTGTTCCTTTGACTGTTTCTTCAGAAATTCACCCATTCTTTTTCCTCTGAGTGAGTAACTCCCAAGTCTTTTGTTAGTCTAATTCCCAAAGAACCCAGACCTGCAGGTGTGAATATTTCAGCTTGGTTGTCCTGTTGTCACTGAATTGAATTTCTCTGTCCATCAAGCTGTCCCTCTTAACTGCTCAATGTCTTCAATCACCTGAACACCAAATTGCAGACTTTTGCGATTTTTCTCTCTTGTCACAAAAGTCATATCCATTTGTTTTTTTTTTAAGATCTTCAGCTACAATACTTCTTTCCATTTTCTGGCTTCCTCTGTTGCTTCTCTCTTGGATTTTATTTTATTTTATTTTCCTTTGCAAAACCACCTTCATTGGGCCTCCTGTCCATCTTCTTGGAAAGAAGGTGGATTTTGGAAAGATTAATCTTTCTGAAATATTTGGCCTGGTCTGAAGCTTCAATCTGTACCTCCAAGGCTTAGAGAATGTAGTTACAGGCCCTTTGGTATTCAGGACCCTGCAGGTTGACTGACACCCTCCTGCCTGTCTTTCTCTGCATCCCACCTCGGCCTGGGCCCCGCCTGCCAGGCCCATCTGTGTCTTTATTCTGGCTGTGCCCTCCTCTTCTTGGCCTCCATGGTTGTTTTTTGGTTAGGTATTCTCCCTTCTCTTTCTCTTGCGTTTTTCTTCAGGGCAGTTCAAGTTTGCCCATGGATCCTCCTGACTGCCCCACCCCACGCGATTGGCTCTTTCCTTTTTCACTCTGCTAGTTCTTCATAATACCACTCACTCATTTTGGAACTTTAGCAAAACATGGCAGTTAGAATCTTATGTCTGTCTGGTCTCCCCAAGAAACTGAGCTCTTGAGGGACAGCCTTGGCACTGTCTTCCTATGTGCTAGCATAGTGACATTCCTTAGAACTTCAGGAGGTCAATTGCTTCTGGTAGAGATGTTTTCTTTCTTCATGCCACCTGGATGTGACTTGATGAGGGGTCCCCTAGCTCTTCCTGGGCTGCTGCTTGGTGTAACCTAATACATGTTGGGTTTTGCTCTCAAAGAGGAGAGCAGGAAGACAGGTTGGTGTCAGAAACCAAGAGGGTGGGAGCCAATGGACATGTACCTGTTGTTATGGAGTCTCCAGAGCTCGGCTTTTGAGCCTCTGAGAAGTAGTGTTTGTTGTGCCAAAAGAATACAATAGAATTTAAGTTTCCCTTTAGAAATTGCACTGATGGAAATATTGCACACCAAAGGAAAACTTATTTTCTGGATGGCTTTTTTTAGAGATAGAATATATGAAGCATGTTGTCCTAGAGAACATGTGGATGAGGGTGAGCTGGCTGACACACCTCTCAAGCTGGGGCTGGGGGGTGACATGTAGGAAGCACTTGGGGCCACAAGAGGCACCCCATACAGACAGCTAAGGCCTTCCCTTTCTGTACCCAGTTTTTGGGTGAAGGGTGGTTTCTATTAGGAGGAATCTATGCTTCAGTCATGGATGCTAATAGAGAAAATTGTTTTCCTGCTGAAGATTACTGAGTAGAAGTACTGAAAGAGTCCATTTCTGGACTCTAGGGGAGTTGAAGGCCAGTCTATCTAGAAAGGCCAAAATAACTCAGAAAGACCTGACAATTAGCTATGTGGATTCAGACAGTTTTTTCCCACATTGGTTTTCAATGACACATTTGGTAACATAATACTAAAGCTCTAGCATTCCACTTCTGGTGATGCTGGTTGTCTTCCCTGGACCTTGTTTGTACAGGGTAACCTGATAGAAATGTTGCAGGTATTGTGAGAGCTAGAGTGCTGGGCACATGTCTGAACCACCTGAGCATGAAGGAGAATGTGTGAGGCACCAGGCCCTGTGCTTCTGCCCGGCTGTTTTCTGAAAACCCTTGCTGGGAAGGTTGGGTTTGTCATGCCTTGCTCAACTGAGTGAGGGAGAAATTTTCAGGTCTAACTGTATGTACGTCCAGAGCCAAGAGTGACTGCCACTCAGCTGGTTCCACAAATCAGATGTGAATTTCCTAAATTTCCTGTTTAAAGGGTTTGGGACTGAGCTGTATAGTATTTCAAGCTGCCAATAAGCCAGCCCCTGACACTCTTGTAGATATTCCTTTAATTCATATGACACTGTGTTCAATAAATGACTGTCAAAATTGTTTCTCTTCTTTTTTGTTTGCCCAATTTGACAGTGGCCACTGTTTTGCAATGTTTTACATTTTCAGCTGTTTGTAACTATAATTAATTTTCTGTTTTTTAAGCTCATTGTGGTCTAATGATAAGTATGTTTCAGTACATATTGTTTTACTGAGCTTTTGTAAATGCCACTGCAATGCAGTTTTGTGTCATTGAACAAAAACCAAATTAAATTCCAGATATTAAGGCAATGAAATCATTAAATTTATTAATATTATATTAACACGGACTAAAATAAGACCCTCGTACTCAGTTTAACACAAGTGAAAGGTGATTTCCATGAACTTTGAGTCTTCATTCACTGTATCATTCAGCACTCAAAGATGTACCAGCAAACTGCAAATGCCATTTCTGGGTTTTGTATACATTTTGTGACTTTCCATCCCCACACCCCTCTCCCGTGCCCAGCAGCCTGTGTTGGACTCAGGAGGTAGGTAGGCTGTTGTTGGGGTACACTCTTGTTGCCTCCCCGTGCTGTCCTCAACTGTGCCCTTGCCTGGAACGTGCTATCAGCCTGCTTCAACCCAATGAAGTCATCTCCTTGTCTGTGCTCTGACTCCTGATATCACTGTTCCATTATCCTCTTAGAGGCTAGGCCCATGTGCTGAGCTCCCTGAGGTGTCTTGGCGCTGGCATGATGAGAACAGATGCCACCGCAGTTGTAAGGAAGACATAACGAATTGGATATGCTCTCCTAATATGCACCTTACTAACTTGTGGGTCTTGTAGTTACCCCTACCTCTAGAATCACACTAACCCTGTCGGGGGTATTTCCTGTCCTCTGAACAGCCACTGGAACCAGAACAGATGAGACCTGGAGCCCTTTGAACCTGTGGAAGTGTAACCACACCCATGCCTAGGTTTTGACTAAATCCTCATTGCTCACCCTCTTCCCTCAACAGTGTAGACTTCCACAGTGCAGCTCTAAGTATGACAGAAGAAGCCTCAGGGCAGAACTGGACACGCCTGCTTGAGCTGACAAGTAGTGTAAGGGCCCATCCCCCTGACCAATGGAATATTTGATTTCATCGTGGAGAGTCAGGAGGTATGGGTTAGGGGAGCAGAGCAAGCCAAGACCAGCCAAATCAGTAGCCCAGACTAGGCCTTTTAGTAGTAACAGCATGCCACCAAAGGTGTAAAGATCATTGTCTGCCCCAGCTGGAAGAGTTTCAGTTTCAAAACTATGATTTACACTAGGGATCCATTCAGAAATCAGAATCAAATTAGAGTGCTTTCCATGTGCAAGGAACTAGTGCAGAAAGACATTATGGGAAGTCAAGGGAGCTGCCCTAGCCATTGGCCAAATTCCTCTGACTGCTCCCTGACGAAACTAATTCTACTTCTTCTTCTTCTCTGCCTGGATCCTAGAGGCAAGATCCTTAAGGTCTGAGTACAAGTTCCGCTTCAGGATGGCGCTGCTGCATAGCAGGGCCCCTTGCAGGGCCCCCATCAGCCCACAGGTGAAGATATCCTGGCCTAGAAGGCAAGAATAGAGGCCCCTGAATATCCACCCATGCAGGAGAGGGGAGGCCCAAGGCTGTGAGGCTCGTCCCTCTGAGCTAGGGCCACCCAAAGTTGGCCCCAGATCAGGACTGGAGCCACAGCCTGCCAAGGCAGCCCAGCTCAGGGTATGGGAGGCTGCAGGGGACAGCAGGGCCTGAGGACAGGAGCAGAGGACTGTGGACCCAGGATCTCAGGTCCTGGCAAAATAGGGCAGTGAGTGTACCTGTCAGGTAGAGGTTGGGGATGGGGCTTTGGGCCCTCATGGAGGCCATCACACGAGGATGTAGGCGGCCCAGGTCATGGTCAGCCCCGTAGCAGGCCCCTCGGGGAGCCGCCAGATAGAACTGGTTGGTCAGTGGGGATCCTCCAGTCACACTCTCCACCTGAGGATGCAAAAAAGCAGCCCAAGGGGGCAGTGGGAACTCATGATCTCCTGTCTCTTCTCCTTTTTCCCCTCTCGAATGTGCCGACTGCTGGGATGGTACCTTGTCCTTCCCTGGGGCCCACTTTTCTTGGGGCCTTCTTCCCCTGTCCTGAGGAATGGGCAGAAATGGCACCAGGAGGTCTGTCCCCACCCCACCTGCTTTGCCCTGTACCTTCCCCTCCAGCTGCGGGAACAGTTTCTTGACCACCGACACCGAGGCTTCCACAAAGGAGTCTTTAAGGGTCTCATAGTCATTGCCCCGCTTTCCCTTCGGCTCCGCTTGCCACTCCTCAAACCAGTCATAGGCGGTGGGCACCAGCACGATCATCGTGGACCGGTCTGGGGATCAGAGCTGCGTCACTACTGCCTGGTGCCTTCCCCCAACTACCTGTCCCCCACTCTGGGCTCCACCAGGCCCTGAAGCCCCACCTGGGAATCGGTCCTTCCAAGTCGGGTCCTTGGCTGATGGGGAAGCGATGAAGAGAACGGGGATGTGTTCTGCAGCCTTTTCCCTGGGCATGGAGATGTAGCGCTCCATCCTGTGGGTGAGAGGAGTGTGACTGCACATCTCCAGGCCTCTGTCCTCAAAGCCACCTGCACCAGCCCAAGGTCAGTTCATCCCCAGGGACTCCCCACGGAGTGGAAGAAGCTAAAGCAGGGCCTTGGTGTGCCAAACTCTTCAGGAGCAATTTGGAAATTGCCCACTTCCTCCCATTTCATATCCTCTGCTTATTCCCCAGTGTCCAAGGAAAGCACGGGCCACACATGCATGCACACACACGCCTTACGCCTGGTCCATATCCGTGTCATAGTAAACATAGTAGTTGGTAGATGACAGACCCAGGTCCTCCTTGGTGCCTCGCAAGCAGATGAAGACAGAGAACATGCCCAGGCCAGGCCGTACCATCCTCAGCTGCTGCTTCACACCTGCCAAAGGGAGTCACCAAGGACTGCAGGGGCTGTGGCCAGAGATGGCCACTGCTTGCTCCTGGAGAGCTTCTCCATGTCCACTCATTTCAAAGGTAGGGCCAGGCCACAGCTGTTGTTTCATTGTGAACTTGGCAGGGTCCCTGCTCTGCCTGCTCTTCTGTCTCCTGCCTGGGAAGGACACAGCCCCAGACTACTACTCTTCCAACTCCCCCCACCACTGCTCTGAGGCCCCTGCGAGGTAGGTGCCACCAAGCCCGTGGCCTCCAGCCTCCCTGAGCTGGCTCTCAGCACCGGCAGGATGGTCAGGCTAACTTCCCCTTAGTGTCTTGAAGTTAGGAGCTCATGTTGGAATTCCCACTTGTGCAGACCACACAAGTGAACAGAGTGTTGTTATAAGCCTCGATTTCAGTATTGACCATAATACAAGCCATCTAGAGAGTGAACATGCACTGTTCCTAGTGTGTGGTTCTGTCAGAACAAGGCCTCCGAGTGGCAAGCCATACAGGAGAGCAGAGGCAAATGGCCTGAAATGGTACTTGGCATCTGAGGACTCGGCTAGAGGGAGGAGGGGGGAACAGCACTATGGTAGAGCAGCAGCCACCGTGTGGACCATCTGATGTCCCCCGGACCTAAGCAGCTGGGCCTCCCCACCTCTCAGCAGGTGACCCCAGACCAGTGTTCTGAAAACTACCCACAAATTCTTGGACTCTGTTCCCACTCCCAGGACCGTGCTTAAGGGATGACTGGGCTGCTAGCTGCTCTGCTTCATTCATTTCACCACTATCAGTTGAGGACCTCAGCTTGTATTCATGGGGAGGATACACAGGGGCAATGAAAATGTCACCTGACTGTAAGGGGAGGGCAGGCAGGACAGGGAACTCCAGCATGGCAGCCTGGAAAGGAGGCAGGCCTGGGTGGGACCCTGGTGCCTGTCAGGGCTCAGGGGTCCCGGCAGAGAGGAGAGGACCTGGCAGAGAAGGGCCACAGGGAGGTGGGAAGCAGCAAAGGCAAATGTCCACCCATGCCTGGCCCCCTTGCCCCAGCCCCTGCAGTCTCTGTCTCACCTCACTCAGCTCCCCCGGTCTGGGAGAGGGGAAGCCCGAGTGGACAGCAAGCAGGGGAGGCAGAGGATGGACATGCTGGTGTTTGGTGGTACCCACCCTATGGCGCAGTCACAGCTCCCACCCTACCCACTGCCCCTGAGAAAAGCCAGACCTGACTCTTCCATCTGACCCACTCTGCTGCCCCCTTCCCCAGTTCCTCAGGCAGCAGCCCCCAGGTGATCCTCTGGGGTGCAGAGCTCCTTCCCCTCTGCTCTCTGGCTCCTCATGCACCACCAAAGGTGCTGGTTTCCATCCCGTCCCCATGCTGGGCTGCTTCAAGCCCTCTACCTCCAGCCCCAGCCAGAGGCCTCTGGACCTGTCTCACCCTCCTGGGTCACTGTTTCCTCTGGCTGGCAGCCTCCTTGCCTCAGATCACACCAGTAGTTCTGGTTACATGACATCCTGAAGTAACTTTTCACCTAACATCAGCCCGGCCACCATTCCCTGTGAGCTGACCTGCTCTCCTGCCTCTTCCTGAGCCCTTTTCTCTGCAAGCCCCACACTTCTCAGCCCACAGGGCTGCAGAACCCGGGCTTACAAAACAGAGCAGGCTTCGCTTCTGGGCAATGCCACTTTTCAGCTGGGTGGCCTATGAAAGTTAATTCCCCTATGTGGACCTCAGTTTCTCTAATCATAAACTCTAGGGCAGGATGCTGTTAGAGACCAGTGTTCTCACCTTTTCTGCTTAAGGACAATCAGAGGGGAAGCTCAGAAGCAGAGCAAGTTTGCTCCAGAAAGGGAAATGTTGGAGAACTTGCAAGAGGAGCTATGCAGACCGGTCTTTTACCTGGCAGGCAGCGGGCGTTCTCCGGCAGTAAGTGCTCATACGTATTGAACAGTCCTGCATTCGAGACCACAATGGGGCAGTAGATGTTCACCAGCTCATGCCCCTTCTTCACACTGACACCTGCAGGCACAAGAGCTTGGCTGAAGGTCTGTGAGCTCCAGGAAGAAGAGGAAGGCCCATATCCTTCATGGATCTCTCCCAGCAGAGACCTGGGAGTCCCAGCCTCCCAGGGCCAGGCAGGGCAGGCCTCAGGCAAATTGTGAAGGGAGCCATTCTCCTTAAGCACTCTCAGCCTATCCTGCAGTCACTTCTGGGCTTACTCTCAGTAGCTCTTTCCACATATGCCTGTGTGGGGGGACTCTGTCTGTACTTTAGCCAAAGCCCCAGACAAAGTTCCCGGGCTGAAGCCCTTCTGATGGAATCCTAGGGCTGCCTTCACTTCTCCCAGAGTTGTTTCCAGAATACTCTCTTCAAAACCCTCCAGTGATGCCCCAAAAGAACCTCCAAAGTCTTGTAGAGGCCTGTGTGATCTGGTCCTTTCTGTGTATCCAGCCTCATCTCTGGCTACTCCCAGAGTATATTAGGCAGCACCATATCAAACAGCTGATATTCAACCATTTTTTGATTTATAAAAATGATGATTTCTTATGGTTCAACCTAATATTTCTGGGTTCCTGAAGATGCTCAGCTCTCCCATATCTCTATGACTTTGCACATGCCGCTTCCCCTTCCTGGAATCACCTCCTCCAACTTCATCTGCTCGCTAGCTTCATGTCACCCTTTAAGATGCAGCTCAAGCAGCTCTGCCTCCATGAGGCTGTCCATGTCCCACCATGCTGTATGCCACCTCCATCCTTAGTGTATGCATCCATACGGCACTGAAATTTTCAGTGATCTTCCCTATGAGACTGGAAACTTACTGGGATCTAGATTGGGACTTATTTATCTTTTATTTCTAATTTTTATTGCCATTACCCCTCTCAGCTGGAAGGAGAACTTGCTCACGCACATCAGAGAAAATTTTGCACGACTGACAGCCAGCTGTGTTACTGCCCTGTGGTTTCTCAGTCTGTTCAACGAATGGATTCTTTGAGATCACTGATTGGCCTCTTCTCCTTGATTGTTTTATATTGTGCTAGGCCTACCAACTCACCACCTCCTCCATCCCAAAAGGTTACCCCGGCAAATTCATGTTCACACCAACCCTGTTTCCCTCAGGCCTCTTTTTGTCCCCTTCCCTGATGCTTCTTTAGGTACACTCTAGTTATGGGTGGCCTGTTCAGTTCCCTGCTGTTCGGAGGAGTCCTTCCCTGCATAGTTGCCCTCTTCAAACAGCTCATTCATAGTGAGGTTTTCATTGTCTATGCATGCAACAGCACCAACCTGAACCAGGAGACCAAGGTTCTAGGCCCCACAGATTGAGGGCAGAGCATCCTCCTGGCCTCCACATTGCCCTTTGGAATACCCAGCATTCATCCCATGAATCACCGAAGAAGCATTTATTGAGCCTCTATTAAGTGTTAAGATCTATAGACACAAAGATAAAAAAAGAACCACTACACTCAAGAAGAAGGTCATTGATTACTGGATATTTTTATCTATTGAATAAATGATTAAATCCTGTTCTTTGGGGACCATGCAATCCTTCATCCTTCCTGCCTTTTTTTTTATACAAACCGTTGCTCTGTTGCTGAGCTGGAATGCAGTGGCATCATCATAGCTCACAGCAACCTCAAACTCCTGGGCTTAAGCAATCCTCCTGCCTCAGCCTCCGGAATAGCTGGGACTATAGATGTGCATGTCACCATGCCTGGCTAATCCTGCTTCCTTTTCACCTCGAGACTAATCACTATCCCCTGGCTCCTGATTTGGGGCAGATTCTAGCCTTTAACCACCATGAGGAGGTCAGCTCTACACCTCCCCCAGAGAGACCTCAGGTCACCCCCGCACCAACCCAGGGACCCCCAAAGCACAGCGCAGAGCTCTCACCACAGGCTTTTCCAGTCGAGTCCAGCAACACACTCTGCACAGTGGCCTTCGTGAGGACAGCACCCCCAGCCCGCTGAATCACAGGGATCATGTGAAAAGCGATCTCACTGGAACCCCCTCGGGGATAAAAGGCCCCTTTCAAGTAGTGGTTAACCAGCAGAGCATGCATGGAAAAGGTAGTGTGGCTGGGGGTCACACCTGCAGAAGGACAGAAGGAAGGGTGGTGGGCAGGCAAAAGCGGGCACCAGCACCACTCAGAAAAGCACACGGATTCCTGTGAGCTAACATGCAACCTGAGTCCATCCAAGGTTGCAAATGTTCCCAGGGTTCCAGGGCAGCTAGAGGAGCCATTTCTATCCAGACATGGGGTGCTTTGGAGTTCTCAGGGCCAGCAGGAATATCCTCCCTGCAAACTGCCACACTGCCAAGACGAGGGAGGACAGTGTTGACGGAACAGAAAAATCATCCAGGTGTAGAGGAAGGGAATTTCCATGAGTCCAGCAGGTAGCCAGACGTCTCATCTACAAACTCCAGAGGGCCTGGGTTTATACACTGCTCCATTTCAGTCAGCTAGGTCCGAGAAAAAAGACCGAGAGTGGGAAGGGCAGCCCCTCCTCCTTTGGGAGCTGCCTTGAGCCCATGGCCAGTACCCACCGTAAGTGGGGAAGATGTAGCTGAGCACTGCCTGGAGCTCAGGGGAGGCCCCCAGCTGCTGCAGGACCTCAGCCAGGCTCTGGGTGGATGCGCGAAGGAACGGAGAGAAACGAGTCAGCAGCCCACACCTGTCGAGGAGCCACGTCACAGGCAATGGGAGTAACTTCAAGAGGATGGCATGAGGGGTTCCATGGGATACCACCTGGGGAAGAAAATGAGTCATGGGGAACAGGCCTCATCTCTGTTCCTCCCTTCCTGCCTCCCCTCCTCCAGTCACTTCCCACCAGTCACTCCACTAATGAGGCAGGTCAGCCTTGTCAGGAATAAACTGAGGGTCCTCAGCATAGGCATGTTACCTTAACCAGCTTCATATACTTGTCAATGGCAGCTTCTTCCTGCGGAAACTTTTCCTTGAGGCCCTGGATGTAGGCTTTCTCCCCAGTGTACATGGGGAACTCCTTTCGGCCATCGGGCCCTTCCAGTACCATGATGTCAAAAGGAGAGGACAGGGCAGCCCAGTCCAGCTGCCCTTCAGTGATCTGGTCCAAGATAAAACGGCCAGCGCTGCCCTCCTGCATGCGCCCGATATAATGGATTCCTGTTGGGTGAGGGAAAAACAAGGTGGTGAAGCGATAAGGGGATTGAGCCCTGAAAGGTGGGTGAAGAAATAAAGTGGAAGTGGTTGTCCAGCGCGTTGTCCTGGTTAAGCGCATGCCCAGAGGAGGCTGCTCATCCTTTCTGTAGGAAAGTGTCATAGCAGAAAGCACCAGATCCCTGCCCAGTTCAGCTCCCAGTAGGTATGGCTCTCAAACAAGGGAAGTGCCCAGAGAAAAGACAGATGGCACCTCCAAAACCATGGAAATGCCCAGTGTCACCCCACAGGGGCTGTTCCAAGCCTCCTGAAGATACAGCCATGCTCCCAACCCTTTCCCCCACAAGCCTTACCCGTGTCAAATTCAAGGCCATTCTTTCCAAAGGTATGACAACAGCCCCCGGCCTTGGTATGTTGTTCCAGCACCAGGACTCGCTTGCCGGCTTTAGCCAGAATCGCAGCTGCAGCCAGGCCCCCGAAGCCACTGCCAATCACCACCACATCCAGCTTCTCTGGCACTTGGCTGGCTGAGAAAGCTGCAGCAGAAGGGACGAGATGGAAGATGGGCTTCTCAGGCAGGGGCAGGGTACTAGCAAAGATAGGAAAGCCAAAAAAGATTTTTGCACCTTGCACAGTGAAACCTCTAGAGCAGTTTGGCATGGACCTCTTGACTAAAGTGTCTCTTGGGAATACTCAGGACCAGCCAGGTAGATTAAACAAAGTGATTTGATCTGATTTAACCAAAACCACAATGTACCTGGGGATTTTTCCTCCTTTCAAAGAAAGCAGGGATCAGTAAACTACTACAGAAACAAAAACAGGAAGCTGACAACAGTACAGCCTGAGAAACCTAAGTGCAGACAGAGAGTAAGCTAGGGAAGAATGAAAACAAGTGCGTGGGGGTGGGGCAGGGGAAGAATCTTGTGGGTAAGCTGACAGCTCATGGAACTGTCCATTCCCAAGCCAGATTTCTTTGGGAGACACAGGATGTGCAGGTGCCAGTGGAGCAGCTGGGTCTTATGGTGGCTCTTCCAGATTCTGGTGGAGAGGCTTGGGCAGGACAGAGCTGCTCAGAGATTGCTGCTCTGAGAAATCACAGCATGAGCCCCTCACTTCGGGGAAGTCTGGAGGCAGTGCTGGGGCAGGGGGAGGGCAGAGCACCTCAACAGAAGACAAAACTGGACAGCACATGGTGCTATATGGGCACCTCCAACCAAGACCTGTTCTTTAAAAAAATCACTGCTAGGCCAGGCACGGTGGCTCACGCCTGTAATCCTAGCACTCTGGGAGCCTGAGACAGGAGGATTGCATGTGGTCAGGAGTTTGAGACCAGCTCAGGCAAAAGCAAGACCCTTGTCTCTACCAAAAATGGAAAAAGTTATTCAGGTGTAGTGGCAGTGCTTGTAGTCCTAGCTACTTGGGAGGCTAAAGCAGGAGGATAACTTGAGCCCAAGAGTTGGAGGTTGCAGTGAGTTATGATGAAACCACTGTACTCTAGCCAGGGTAATAGAGCCAGACTCTGTCTCAAAGATAAAAAGAATTCACTACCAAAGAACTGAGATTTGGAATTTTTCAAGCTGCAAGAGAATTTGGCATATTTATTTTTCAGAAGGTTTTAGAGAGACCCATAGTGAAAAAATACATTTTATATCACAACCCAAAATATATGTAAGTGTATAACATAAATAGGTGAAACAGAAGTTTCTCAATGCAATATATACTGGCACTATGTATGATGCATTTGGATATTTTCTATTCTACTGCATTTAAAAATGCCAGTTGCAATCTACTAAATTGATTTCATAAACCAGTAACATCACAACATGGTCTCAAAAGCAATTAAACTAGTTATTTCATTTTTAGACCAGCACCGAAAAGTGGAGTGACTTGCTAAGAGTTATGCAGTAACTAGTAATAGAGTCCAAGCTACAACTCCAATCTCAGAAGTCCAGACTCTCAGTCCTTCCAGGTAGAACAGTGTTGTCTCTGTGCAGCAAAATGTACCATACAGAATTCTAAACTTTACAAGTGAGAACAACTCTGAAGATCAAACAGGGGATCTGGTATTTTGTTTTTAAAGCAGAACTCATTCTTTAAACCGTAGAAGCAACCCCAAAATACATGTCAAAGATGAGACTGGAGAGTAGGCTCTGAGCCTTAGATACCCTTAGGCACCTCTACCAAAGTTCTAGAAGCAGGGTTCAGTCCTGTGAGTTGGGCCCACACACAACCTATGAAATCATCTATCTGATGGGCAAAACGCAATGTTGTATACTGATTGGGAGACATGTCTGTGCCGCTCCCCCACGCACTTGAGCTCGCGTGAGAGGTTTTGTGAAAAAGTTAAGGTCCTGTGTGGGAATGGTCTCTTCTCGTCTGTCCGAGAACCGCGAGTATTCCAAGCGGAAGGCCGGAGCTGGGCTATGCCAAGACCTTGGCACGCTGATGACGGAGCCCGCGCCCTTGGAGCTATTTCCCGAGTTTGCTGGGGCAAGGGCTCTCCCAGTGGCGGACACTAAAATGGGGCGCCTGCAGGTGCAAGAAAGCCCTTCCAGCACTTTACATATGGGGAAACTGAGGCCCAGGTCTGGAAGCAGCTTGCCCTGCCGGAATGGGAATGCAAACCTGTAAGAATGCCCAAGCGCAGCCCCAGACCCCAGGGTCCCTCCCGCTGACCTTGTCTGAGAACTTTCTTCCTGGCCTCCTTGTCAGTCACCAGGGGCGCTGGTGGCCGCTTGACATCCTCGGAGAAGGGGTTCGGGGAGCTGCCAGCGAATAGCCCCAGGTAAACTTTGCCGAGGACTGCCAGCAGCAGCACCGCCAGCAGCAGCACCAGCAGAAGCCACATGGCGCCGGCGTTGGGTCGGGGAAATGCGCCCGTTCGGACTTTACTCAGACTTTAGGGCCACGGCTCCGCCCGGCTACTTTACTCTCCCTACTGAGGAGCGGAAGGCAGCTTTGAGCACTGATCAATCACCCAGCGAGAGGCCAACGCTCCGGCACGGATTGACCCTGTCGTCTCTTCGTACTTCCTTTGCCGCGCGAAGTTTCCAGTGCTTGCTGGGAAGTGTAGTTCTTGGGGCTAGAAGAGGTCACACGGGCGCCGCTGTGCGCGTGCGCATGCGCGAATGCGGCCCAGCCGAGGCTGAGGACTCCAGTCGGGAAAGGTCCGGTAACGCCGGGAACTAGTCAGATGAGTCGGGGGCCTGAGGAGGGAGAATGGGGATCAGGGAGGCTGGTGCAGGGGTGGTGGTGGAAATGATCACTGCGGAGCGAGACGGCACTGAGAGAGAAGCCCGACTGGGAGATGGGAGACCTGGGTTCTGGTCCTGGCTCTGCCCTGGACTCACTGAATGCTCTGAGGCAAATCGCTTTTTTCCTCTTACCCCTCCAAGCCGTGAGAAAGTTTCTGTCTGGAGTCCTCACAGGCCCCCTCACTGGCTGTGTGTGTTGATAAATTGAGATCCTATTAAGATCTACGCATCACAGCTGGCGAGCGCTCGGCTCTGTGCCCCTCATAGTGACCCATAGTTTTGGCTTTGACATCCCCCTGAGACGGCAGCATTTGCGGCGGGCCCTGGCTGGATGCCCAGTTGCACAGCTTCGTGGAGGCCGTGGGGGACGCGGAGCCGCCAGGAACAAACCCAACGAAAGGATCAGTGAAGGGCTGTCAGGCCTATGTGCATATTTGTATTGAAGGATGGACCCAGTCTGTAATGAAATACCTATGCAGAGGGTTTAAACTCCAGCAAGCAGCTGAAAAATCATACCCCCTTAGTCTAGCTGTTTGCCTACATTCATTGCCAAATCAATGAATACTTGATTTGAGAAGGATCTATTTTTATAGGACCATTTCTCCAGCTCCAGCTATCAGGAACTTGCCTAATATTGGTAGGAGTGACTTCATAACTTGGAGTACTTCCTTATTTGACAGAGTTTTTGCTCCTTTTTTTTCTGTGATACAGATTGTAACCATCCCTATTGGAGGCCCCAGCAGTGCTCCAGCCAGGTGCTATAAGGCTGGTGATGCTTCTGTGCTACTTGGTTCATTTCATACACAGTAACAGAAGAGCCTTCCTGAAATTGCTATTACCATACCTGCCTGTCACCTTGCCAAGGTTGGCTGATGTGTGAGTGTGTTGTCATGTGATGTCATGGAGGCCAAGGGGGAGGAAAAGGAAAGAGAGGCAGATGATGAGGCCACAGTGAGGGAAGCCTAGTTCCTGAGGTGCTAAAACTGAAGGGGAATTTCCCTCTCCCCAAGATTACGGTGAGCCCCATGTCCAGCCCCTGAGCCAGGAGATATTCCTCCCTTGGTGTTAACAATCAAAGCATCCCAACAAAGATCCCAGTTTGTTACTGGCAGCCACTTCTTAGGGAATCCAGATCATATTCCCACAGTGAAGGGCTGATGCCATAGAGAGATCACCCTCCTTCCTTAGTCATCCAAGTCTGTGAAGAATGATTGTCAGTTGTGTATGGGCCATCTCCCTATGTAAGATCTGAAGTTTTGATGTGACAGGCACCCATGATGTCCAGTTTCCTCATGTTAAGATACGAGTCTTGCTCAGCCCTTTTCCTGAGGCAAACAAGGTAAAATGAAAGACTTAGAGTTGGCCACACTGGCTAGACAGCTGCCACATGTACAATACTGATGATAACTGAAGAAGGTTAAGACATTGTGTTGGATTTTGAGTTTCTACCAAATATCAGAACTAGGTCTGATATTGTAAGCCTCCTGACCCAACCTGTGTCCAAGACCTAAACAAAGCCTGAGTATTTCAGCTAAGACCACCCACCAAGGTGCCACTTATTAGCCTCACCCCTTTGATAAGCTGGCCTCAGTAACTTCATTATCAGAAACAGAGTGCATCACTTAGAGTGGAGCAGCTGCCTTTTGGAAACTGAGAACCTAGCCCCCCACACCTCAGCATGGTCCCCTTCTTTCTTTGCACTGGCAGTAGTAGTAAGAGGTAAGCATTTGGCTAAGGCAGCTTGTTTATTCAAAAAAAAACTCCACAGTTACTTAAAGATTTTTAAAGTAATATTTGTTAACAGAGCCATAACTGAATGATGAAACCAGTTTTCTCTCTCTTCCCTCCCTTCCTTTTTTTGTTTTGCAGACCTGAGGCTGCGAAAACCTCAGGGACATCTTTCAGTACTCACAGAAACCTCCTACACCCTTGCGATGGCACAAAGGGACTGTTTTCTTACTCTTAGTCTGAATGACTGCCAAGAAGGAAGGCACAGGTAGAGCAATTGGATCTCTGGCTCTCCTGGTAGCTTCTGATCTCAGACTTTATTAAACCCCTTTCTGGGCCTAAGGACAAAGCTCACATGAACAAATGATTTTGAGTCATGAGTGAAAAATCTTGCTCTTTCCATAATGAGAAAGAATTAAGAGTTGGACAGGTAAGCATGTATGCTGCTTTGGGAAAGCTGTTGGTTTGGGATAGATCGTTAATTACAGTAAGACAGAGAGAATATATCAAGAGAATGTAGAGGCCGGGCGTGGTGGCTCTCGCCTGTAATCCTAGCACTCTGGGAGGCCGAGCGGCGGTTGCTTGCGAGGTCAGGAGTTCGAAACCAGCCTGAGCAAGAGCGAGACCCCATCTTCACTATAAATAGAAAGAAATAATTGGCCAACTAATATATATATAGAAAAAATTAGCTGAGCATGGTGGCGTGTGCCTGTAGTTCCAGCTACTTGGGAGTCTGAGGCAGGAAGATCGCTTAAGCCCAGGAGTTTGAGGTTGCTGTGAGTTAGGCTGACGCCACGGCACTCACTCTAGCCTGGACAACAAAGTGAGACTCTGTCTCAAAAAAAAAAAAAAGAGAGAGAGAATGTAGAGCTTTACAAATATTTAGGAAAAACCTGATAATATTCCTAGCTTCTCTCTCTCTCTCTCTCTCTCTTTTTCACCCTGAGTAGGGTGCAAAAATGACACAATCACAGCTTACTACCACCTCTAACTCCCGGCTCTAGCAATCCTTCTGGCTCAGCTCCTGAATAGCTAGGGCTACAAGCATTTGCTATCACCAGTTCTCTTTGTTCTATAAGAAGGAGCTTCTGTTCATCTCAGGGTTAATTGCCTTTCCTGATAGCTTGTTTTCTAAGTGGCTTATAGGATTTTGTTTTGGATTTATTTATGTATTTTTTAAAAACACAATGGTAAATTAGTGCATATACTCTGTCCTTTGCTTTTTCACTTAATATATCATGAATATTGTTCCATATTGCCCACGAGCAAGCACTTGCTTATTCTTCTTTATGGCTATGTGGTATCTCAGTGAGTGAATATCTTTAATTTGTTTAATCAACCCATTAGTGGATATTTATGGTTTTCCCAGCCTTTCACTATTATAAACAGTGCTACAATGAATTTACTGTAAATGTAAACATGTCATTTTGCACATGGGTGGGTATATTTGTTAGATACATTACTAGAATGCAACAGCAAGTCCCAAATATATAAAATATGTATGATTTTTTCAGGTATTATCAAGCTATAGAGATAGTAACAGTTTACTCTCCAGTGTGTTATGTAGCACTTGGCACTCTGGCCAACAAAGGGTGTTACCAGACTTTTTGACCTTTGATAATCTGACAAACAAAACATTATCTCAGAATAGTTTTATTTGGCATTTCTCTCCTGAGTGAGGTTGAGCATTTATTCATATGTTTAAGACCAATTTGTGTTTCCTTTTATGTACACTGTCTATCCTTTGCTCATGTTTCCACTGGTTTGGGTTTTGTTCTTGTTTTTCTTTCTTTTGACACAGTCTTGCTCTGTCACCCCAGCTAGAGTACAGTGGTGTCATCATAGCTCGCTGCAGCCACCTGGGCTCAAGCAATCCTCCTGCCTCAGTCTCCCAACTAGCTGGGACTACATGTGCATGCCACCACGCCTGGCTATTTTTTTCTATTTTTAGTAGAGACAGGGTCTTGCTCTTGCTCAGGCTGGTCTCAAACTCCTGACCTCAAGTTGACCTCTGCCTTTGGCTCCTCAGAGTGCTAGGATTACATGTGTGAGCCACCACACCCAGCTGGGTTTTGTTTTTCTTAATGATATGTAGGATTTTTTAACAACATATTTGGAAAATTAGCTCTGGATCTGTGAAATGAGTTCCAAACAATTGGTCAAGTTTTTTTTTTTTTTTCAATTCTAGTAGGGGAAAGGTTTGGCCAGGCAAGGAGCCCATAGGAAACTGCCTCACTGAACTTCACTCAGAGAGCCCTGAGACCTTTAACAGAGCCACGAGATCTGTGTAAGATTTCTGAGATAACATTAACTAACCTTTTTGCAGGTTTTGGGTTTTTTTGTTTTTTTTTTTTTTTTTTTGAGACAGAGTCTCACTCTGTTGCCCAGGCTAAAGTGCCGTGGTGTCAGCCCAGCTCACAGCAACCTCAAACTCCTGGGCTCAGGAGATCCTCCTGCCTCAGCCTTCCGAATAGCTGAGACTACAAGCCTGCGCCACTATGCCTGGCTAATTTTTTCTATTTTTGGTAGAGACGGGGTCTTGCTGTTGCTCAGGGTGGTTTCGAGCTCCTGACCTTAAGCGATCTGCGTGTGTTGGCCTCCCAGAGTGCTAGGATTACAGGTGTGAGCCTTTTTGCAGTTTTTGTTTGTTTGTTTGTTATGAGACAGAGTCTCGCTTTGTTGCCCAGGCTATAGAGTGAGTGCCATGGCTGTCAGCCTAGCTCACAGCAACTCTCAAACTCTGGGCTCAAGCGATCTCCTGCCTCAGCCTCCCAAGTAGCTGGGACTACAGGCATTGTGCCACCATGCCGGCTCATTTTTCTATATTTATTAGTTGTCCAATTAATTTCTTTCTATTATAGTAGAGACGGGGTCTCCGCTCTTGCTGCATGTGTTTCGAACTCCTGACCTCGAGCAATCCGCCGCCTCGGCCTCCCAAAGTGCTAGGATTACAGGCGGAGCCATTGCGCCCGCCTTTTTTGCAGTTTTTTTAAAGACCAGACTAAACAGAAATTTTTTATATAGTATTCCTGATATTAGTTACCGTCTCTAGAATTTATCCATTTTTTGGTTGTTGTGTGAAATAGCTGCAATATTTTAAACTCTCATCTCAGGATATTAATATATGTCTGAGAGATTGACCCTGGTATTGTTTTACAGGGTGAAAGAATGTCTGCTGGCACTCTGCAACATATGACAAGGACAACAGTTGCTCTTTCTGCTTTCAGAGGAATTCCTGTATGTATCACACACACCTGAGTGCTTCCTGCTAATGCCCACTTTTGTTGTTTGTTACTGTGTGGTGCCAGGCACTGTGCTAGGCACTGGGACAGAAGGATAGCATAGACCATAGCCTTTAGGAGCTACTTTGGAGGAGGAATGTGAGCAACAACATGAAAAAACCCTTTATCTAATAAGATAATTGCTAAATGCAGCATAGTATAAATACAATGGAATACCAAAGGCATATCACAGTCTCAAATGAGTTGTGCAAATTTTTGTTATTTGTTATTTCTAACGATGGCATACACTTGTCCCAACATCACCCACTTCTGCATCATACTTGAAGTTTTCCAGTACCTCTACTTCAGATTGACTTTAATCAGCCCATCAGGGCAAATTAGGTCCTTCTGGCCTCCATTTTCAAGGACATTCAGTACATGTGGTGGAAGTGTTTCTGTGTATGGGGGATGTGGATTATGTCCTCACACTAATGATCAGCTGCCCTACAGATCGTGAGTTAAGAACCACAGAATTCTCCCGCCTGACCACTAGAATGCTAATGGATGGAGCCAGGTGGAAGGTCCTTCAGGGCCTTGGGTCTGGAGGACCAAGTCAGACCTTCCCATGGATCACTTTTTCATCCTTTGAATTTCTCTCATTCCTTGTCCTTTAGAATTTTGTAGATGCATTTCCTTCTCAAGGAAAGTTAAAATCAACACTGGAGCCCGTGCGGTGGCTCACGCCTATAATCCTAACACCCTGGGAGGCTGAGGCGGGGATTGCTCGAGGTCAGGATTCAAAACCAGCCTGAGCAAGAGCGACCTCTCCTTACTATAAATAGAAAGAAATTAATTGCCAACTAAATATTATATAGAAAAATTAGCGGGCATGGTGGCATGCCTGTAGTCCCAGCTACTTGGGGCTGAGGCAGGAGGATCGCTTGAGCCCAGGAGTTTGAGGTTGCTGTGAGGTAGGCTGACGCCATGGCACTCACTCTAGCCTGGGCAACAAAGTGAGACTCTGTCTCAAAAAAAAAAAAAAAAATCAACACTGGATTAGGAGTCAAAACACCTGAGTTCTGATCTCTGACTGCTAGTGGTTTACTGTGTGCCTCTGGGCAAGTCATATAATCTCTGTGTCTACAGTGGGAATTTAACATTAATTTAATATTGATTATCTCCCTTATCCTCAAAGGGATGTTATGAAAAATGAGACAGTGTATGTGAAAAGGCTTTGAAAATGTATCTGCCCTATGTAGCACATCCCTATAGTATATTTAAATTAAAGCTCATTCCACTTGCCAGTTGATTAGGGAGTAAGGTCCACTTACCAATTCAGAAGCACCAGTTCTGGAGTCAGATATCTCTAGTTTAAATCCTGGCTCTCTTACCCACCAGCTACATGATGTTGAGCAAGTTACTTAACCTTTCTACCCCTCATTTTCCTCATCTATAAAACAGGGATTATATCAGAATATATTATATTATATGATAGGAATTTTGTAAGGATTAAACAAGATAATGTAGGTAGTGCTGAACACACAAAATATAAATCATAATGAGTGCTCATTGGTATGTATTATTATGTTTAAATCTTACACACTAAAATTGTAATTTTTAGCTATATGGAGCTTTTAAAAATATTCTAACAGAGGGGCCGGGCGTGGTGGCTCATGCCTGTAATCCTAGCACTCTGGGAGGCCGAGGTGGGCGGATTGTTTGAGCTCTGTAGGAAGACCAGCCTGAGCAAGAGCGAGACATCATCTCTACTAAAAAAATAGAAAGGAATTAGCTGGACATCCAAAGTATATATATAAAAAAATTAGCCAGGCATGATGGTACATACCTGTAGTCCCAGCTACTTGGGAAGCTGAGGCAGTAGGATTGCTTGAGCCCAGGAGTTTGAGGTTGCTGTGAGCTAGGCTGATGCCACAGCATTCTAGCCTGTGCAACAGAGTGAGACTCTGTCTCGAAAAAAAAAAGAGAGAGAATATTCTAACATAGAAACGTTACTTGGACTTATACGAAGTTTCTTTTAATGGGATTTTATCTTTACTGTATGACAACAAACACAACATTAATACATTCACAATTTTTCCCATAAATGCCAAAATATTTCGTATTTGAATACAATGGACATTTTTGTGCCAGATATTTTTAATCATATTAAACAAGCATAATTCTTTTCAGGTTGCTCTCAGCTCATTTAAATGAATAGGCTGACTAAATCAGCGGAGCTGTTTCCTGTGTAAGTGGAAGAGAGCCAAAATAAAGGAGACAATTTTAAAAAGGAAAAAAGACAGGCCGGGCGCTGTGGCTCACGCCTATAATCCTAGCACTTTGGGAGGCCGAGGCATGTGGATTGCTCGAGGTCAGGAGTTCAAAACCAGCCTGAGCAAGAGCAAGACCCCGTCTCTACTATAAATAGAAAGAAATTAATTGGCCAACTAAAAATATATACAAAAAAAATTAGCCGGGCATGGTGGCGCACCTGTAGTTCCAGCTACTCGGGAGGCTGAGGCAGGAGGATGGCTAGAGCCCAGGAGTTTGAGGTTGCTGTGAGCTAGGCTGACGCCATGGCACTCACTCTAGCCTGGGCAACAAAGTGAGACTCTGTCTCAAAAAAAAAAAAAAAAGGAAAAAAGACAAAGAACCAGAACAATATGAGCTACGTTAATTCTCCTGAAGATTTGTCCTTTGCCTTAGTGTTCTCCAGTTGGTGAGAGGAAAATAGTTTGTTTTTCTTTTTTCTTCTTATTTTTCCTGGAAAATAGTTTTTATATCAGGGTCATCTTCAGAGGTAGGAAGCTTCTGGCTGGTTCCAAGAGGAAAGGAGAAGAAGCCCTTCTAAGGTTTGGGCGTTTGTCTCTAGTTTTTAGGCACCAACTTGATAATGCTGGTTGAAACCTTCTTCTTTCTGTTCGTGAACCTGTTATGACAGAAATTCCCACCTCCCTGCAGCTGTGGCTTGTGCTCCTCCTGGCTGACAGACTTTGATCAGTCTGCTCATAGTCTGAGGGTTTGAGGTGGGGTGGGGGTTGATGACGTTGCTCATAGGTGAGTGTGTGAAGGGTGAAGAATCAATAAAGCTGCATGTGGGTGAAAGGGTGAAGGGTGGGGAGAGCCTGTTCAGCTTCCCTTTGTCCCTCTTTTCATTTCATCTTCTAAGGTCCCATGCCGAAAGCGAGTTTTATTTTCTTGATTGTCCAAGGTCAGATATTCTGGGTTTTTTTCCTCGAATTCCTGGGGTCAAAGAATCCTCCCACCTCAGCCTCCTGGGTAGTTAGAGCTACAGATACACACCACCGAGCCTGGCTCATGGTTTTACTGAGGCAGGGTCTCACCATGTTGCCCACGCTGGTCCTCAACTCCTGGCCTCAAGCCATCTTCTGGTCTTGGCCTTCCAGAATGCTGGGATGACAAGTGTGAGCCACTGCACCTGGCCCAGCATCAAGTATTCCATCGAAGTCATCTAGTTTGGAAGCCCAGAGGCTCAATGTCTGCTTCCCAATACTGGAGCTGGCAAGGTGGAATTTCCTAGAGGTCTAGACATTTAGGACCCTAGACCCATCTCACCTGCTACCACATCCATTGCCCTGCTGAACCTAAGCCCATAGCTGCATCTAGAATAACAGTTTACCTTTGGGCCACATACTCTCCTGAAAGGTTGAAGAATTAACTCATCCTTACAACAGTCCCATGAGAGGTTACAGATGATTAAGTAACTTTCCCAAAGAAATAGAGCTAGTAAGTGGCAAAATGAAACATTCACATGCAGCTTGGCTCTTGAGTGAGCTTTTGGCAACTATCCTCTCCTGCTTCCCAGCCGCTTTCTTTTCCTCATTTTCCAGTGGCATTTTATTTAATCTACAGGTATATTCTCCAAACGGTTTATTGTCATGTGATGTCCTTAGCCAAGATTGTGAAGGAGAGAGGAGCTGTCCTAACTTACTTGTCCCACTGATGCTGGAGAGATCATAATTTTTGGTATTGAACTAAAGTCTCTCCATCCTTCACCTTGTTTGTTGATGTTTTCTATAGAAAATTGGAAAAGCCAGTGACAGAAAACGCTAGTAGTAGTTCGGGCTAGAGAGTGATAACTGTGCTTTGGAAAAAAAGGCTGTGTGGTAGCTATAGAGAACATATTTTGCTGCTGCTTTTTTCTCCCACTTCCCCACCACCACCACTTTTATTATGCATTCATTCATTCATTACACATTCACTGAGCAGCTATCCTATGTCAGGCTCTGTGCTAGCTCTGGAGAAGCCTGCCCTTGAGTAGCTCACAGTGTAGTGGGAGAGATAGTTACCATGCTATGATAAGCAGTGGGTGTTGGGGTCACACAGAGGAGTGGCTTCTAATCCAAACTGATGAGGCCCAAAAAGGCATCCAGGTGAGGGTAAGGTCAGAGCTAACTGAGGGATGAGGAGGAGCTACACCAGCAGGGGTTGGAACTGAAAGTGACAGTACCTGGGGTCCTGAGTCTTCAGCAGAGGGAAAACAGTCTGTGCAAAGGTACTGAGGGTATCAGGGGGGCAGAGCATGTTTAGGAACTTCAGATAGTTCTGGATGACCCTGAGGCAAAGCCAGTGAGGTAAGAAGGATGTTTAAGGCTAGGCTTGGTGGCTCATGCCTACAATCCTAGCACTCTGGGAGGCTGAAGCAGAAGGATCACTTGAGGTCAGGAGTTCAAGACCAGCCTGAGCATGACCCCATTTTTACCAAAAATACACAAAGATAAAAATTATCTGGGCATACATGCCTGTAGTCCCAACTACTCAGGAGGTTGAGGCAGGAGGATTGCTTGAGGCCAGGAATTTGAGGTTGCAGTGAGCAATGATGATGCCACTGCACTCAACCCAGGGCAACAGAGCGAGATTTTGTCTCAAAAAAATTAAATCTATAGATGCTCTTCATCTTATGATGGGGCCATATACTGATAAACCCATTAATCAAAAATATCTTAAGGCCGGGTGTGGTGGCTCACACCTGTAATCCTAGCACTCTGGGAGGCTGAGGCAGGTGGATTGCTTAAGGTAAGGAGTTCGAAACCAGCCTGAGCAAGAGCGAGATCCCGTCTCTACTATAAATAGAAAGAAAACTAATTGGCCAACTAATATGTATAGAAAAAATTAGCTGGGCATGGTGGCGCATGCCTATAGTCCCAGCTATTCGGGATGCTGAGGCAGAAGAATTGCTTGAACCCAGGAGTTTGAGGTTGCTGTGAGCTAGGCTGATGCCACGGCACTCACTCTAGCCCGGGCAACAAAGTGAGACTCTGTCTCAGAAAAAAAAAAAAAAATCTTAAGTTGAAAATGCATTTAATACCCTGATAAACTCATCCTAAAGTCAAACAATTATAAGTGGAACCATCCTAAGTCTAGATGCTCCTGGACCCACAATGGGGCCAGGTCCCAATAAACTCATTGCAGTGTCAAAAAATCCTAAGTCTGTTCCATTGTAAATCAGGGACCATCAGTAGGTTGTGAAGGTGCTTTGGTGCTGTACTGTATAGTATGGGTTTATCTTGAGGGCCTGTGGAGAATCCTTGAAGGGTTTTGAGCAGGCAGGTGACATTAGATCTGCTTTTCAAAAGCTCATTCTGGGCCAGGCACAGTGGCTCACGCCTGTAATATAGCACTCTAGGAGGCCGAGGCAGGCGGATCATTTGAGCTCAGGAGTTCAAGACCAGCCTGAGCAAGACTGAGGCTCTGTCTCTACCAAAAATAGAAAAAATTAGCCGGGCATGGTGGCACATGCCTATAGTCTTAGCTACTCGGGAGGCTAAGGCAGAAGGATCACTTGAGCCCAGGAGTTTGAGGTTGCTGTGAGCGAGGTTGACCCCACGGCACTCTAGCCCAGGGCAACAGAGTGAGACTCTGTCTCAAAAAAAAAAAAAAAAAGGCTCATTCTGGCAGTTGTGTGAAGAGGAGATCAGAGGGCAACAAGACCCCAGGCAGGCAGACAAGGCTGGGGTCTATGATAGAGGTCAAGACATAGCTGGATCTCAGAGGGTCTCTGTTTCTTATTATTGCAGTAGTGAGTACAGAGGTACTCAGAGCCCAAGAAGAATGGGAAGCTGTGGAGACCATCCAGCCAGAGACAGGTAACTGCAGGAGCGGCACTATCTCCACACAGCCCCGCTGCCAACAAAGGCGTGATCCACACGTGTGGCTGATGTGTCTGTGACTATGAGATCAGGAGTCAGAATTCCGGAGAGCTCTCATTTTAGCTATGTGATGTAGAATAAAATCTCTTTCCCAAACCCAAAGATGATGACACGCCACCTCTGGAGGAATTGGGAATGAATGCGGAGGTGGAAAGGGCTGCCATCCCTGCCCATCTTCCAGCCGGCCCTGAGAGGAGACTGGGGGTACCCTGGTCAAGGTCAGCTTCTGCAGGGTGACAAGGTCAAGCAGGAGGAAGGCAGGTTGCCAGGGCACTTGCACAAGGGTGCTCAGGTTGTTCACTGTATTAGGAAGTCCCTGGGGATGGGGTGAAGCCATCAGCTAGAAGGTCCCGACACTGGGTAAAAATTGTCTCATGTTTCAGAGAGTTTTAGATGGAGCTACTGGAGGGTAGAACTAGGACCTGTGTCTCCGCTAAGCCCCACTTGAGCTCCTGGAGAGATGTTACAGTGAATGGTAGCAGCCCCCGCCCCTTTTGCTAACTGATAAGTTAATTTTCTAAGGGCTGTAACAGAGCTCACTCTGGCATGGGGGCGGGGGCCTATACAGGGTGTGATAAGGGACAAAGTGGAAATTAGGAAGGGCCTCTCAACAAACTGGTGGTGTGCTCCTACATGAGTACCTACTCTAGGCGGTGACCCACCCCCTCACAGATGGGTAGAATTTAGGGAGCCCCTTGCAGGGCAGATGTGTCCCATACTCACTGCACAGGTCCGCCTAGCAAGAGCGGATAGCCTAGTCCAAAAAGACAGGCAGCCCAGCAGTCAGTGCCAGCCCCCTGAAAGAGGAATGGTTGTAGCTATAGGTGTCTGATGTTCAGCTGGAAACCAGCGGTTGGCTTGGTGGTAACAACCAGGAGGCCCTCAGTAAATGTTTGCTGACAGAATGACTACCATTACAAATCCTGGAGTGTCTTCCCTTTTGCCACAGGGAGCCGGGCCAGCTCTGCACAGGCTGGGCAGCTAATCTCCTTCAGCGAGGCCCTGCAGCACTTCCAGACTGTGGACCTCTCCTCCTTCAAGGTATGGCGGTAGGGAGATTTGGGGCCTCACACAAAGCACCTTTTTCCCAGGAGCCAGGTTTCCATTCTACCAGGACTGGGCAAGCAAGATGGAAGTTTTCAGTTGAGGGCCTTATCTTACCTAAGGTCTTAGGGCCGGGCTCATGGGTGGCCTAGGACCCATGCTTTATGCAGGGCCCTGGTAGGCTCTGTGGGACAGTGCCCATAAAGCTCTTGTGGCCCTGTCATTCAGGGGCTTCTATAGCTGGTCCTCTAATTCCTCCTCATTAGGGCTGGGAGATCTGGCATCAAGTCCTAGGTAGTTCTGTGGGGAGACAAGGCAACCTGTCCAGGGAGCTGAGTAATTGGCAGAAAGTGGAAGAAAAGCTTCCCTTCCCTCAAGGAGCCAGAAGGTATTTGGGAATTTAAGAAAGATGAGGGGTTGGAAAAAGAAGGACTATTGGGGGGAATAAAAGCTGGGGGCTTTCTGGGACACCTTGAGTAACCAGTAGGGAGTTTAGAGGAATATGATTTCAGGTCTTCAACTAAAACCTGGCTTGAGAGAGACACTGAAAAGAAATCGGGTTGGTATATAGGACCCGGTGAGCCTGAAGCTATCAAAATGAGAACATTCTAAGGCCTGCAACAGTGGCCCTGAGCCATGAGAAGCCACCATGACCTAGTTTAGGAAGAGCTAGTTGTGGCCAGAAGACTCCAGCTACCCCTCAGAGGCAACTCATTCCAGTGAGTCCCCACTGGCTCTCTAATCCTGGAAGTTGAGAGATGTGTCATTTATATCCTTTACACACAGAGAGGCAGAAACAGACAGAGACAGACATACAGTGGGGTAGAATAGCCCTCGGGGAAGCAGGCCTGGCATTTATCTGACTGTGGCGGGGAGTTCCTCTAGCTGGGCATCTGTAGCCTCTGTGGGAGTCAGTGGAATAGCTAGTTCTGGAAAAGCCCGAAAGTCTAAATGCAGGAGAGTGGCTGGCAATGCCTATGCCAAAGAGACCTTTGCAAAATCTCTCTTGCAAGAGGTCTTTGCAACACCTCTCTTCGGCCTTGCAAAGAACCTGGGAGCTGGAAGAGCCTGTCTCCAGAGACTCAACAGGTGCTTCACAGCTACTGCCCCATTTTCTTGCCCAAAGACCAGCAGTTGGCTGGAGGAACTACCTCTGGAGGAAGGGCTCTGTCTGCACAAACTGCCCCTGGTCTGAGCCTGATGGTAAGTTCATTAAGGCCAGTGAACCCAGCCATCTGCCCATTGCCTGCAACTTCCTCCCCAGAAAAGAATCCAGCCAACTATTCGAAGGACCGGGCTTGCTGCTCTCCGGCACTACCTCTTCGGGCCTCCAAAGCTCCACCAGGGCCTTCAGGAAGAAAGGGACTTCGTGCTGACCATTGCTCAGTGTGAGTGCACGGGGGCTGCCACAGGGCATGTGCTGCGTATGTGGTCAGGCAGAGAGCACTGTTTGCCCACCCTGTTGCTGTGACTAAGCCAGGGGTCTCACATTTTCCATGTTGTAGGGGGCAGGTGGGAGGCGAGAGTGGGAGCTGAGAATGGGGTGTCCTGAGCACAGTCCAGATCTAACATTCTTCGAGAAGCACCCAGTCCTCCCCTGAGAGGCAATCTGGCAGAGAGTATGGATGTGTTTTGGAGCAGGTGGCCTGGATAGCCAAGACCCAGTGCACGGCCGAGTCCTCCAGACCATCTACAAGAAGCTGACCGGCTCCAAGTTTGACTGCGCCCTCCACGGAGACCACTGGGAGGACCTGGGCTTTCAGGGTAAGAGGGAAGAGTGGCTCATCTTCTCTTTCTTGCCCCTGATTCCGGGACTTGAGTGAGAGGCCAGGTCGTCCCCTTCCAGCCATGCCAGTGCTGTGAGGTGGGATATCTGGGGGAAAGCTCTTCGGGAGCACAGTGCAGCACATGCACAGACACTGGCATGAAACGTGCTTGCTGAGTTTGAAAAACGGCAAAGACTGTGACTGGGGTGGAGATGAGAGTGACAGGAGAAAAGATCAGTTCGTGGCCCTGCAAACCATTTTAAGACATTTAGCCTAAGTGAAATGGAAAGCAGTGGAGTGATATGACTTAGTGATCTGGTTTCTTTGGGTTTTTTCCTTTTTTAAAAAAATACTGATGAAAGTTTCATTATATATTATTTTATGTTTTGAATGAAACAAATAGGTTTCACCTGTTTTTAGATTGCACTTTTTTCAAAATAATATCAAGTACATTTGTACAGAATAGGAAAATATTAGGTTATAAATATGAAATGTCTGATTTACTTAAGTACTAAGTTTGACAGTTGATATCTCTGACATTTCACTTTGACACTTCTTGTTTTGTTTTTTTTATTATGAAGGTACATCCTCATTCTTTCAAATGCACATTTTGGCTTGTGATTATCTTTCAAATTTTTTTAGAGCAATTTTTGTGCAACTATGGATAAGTCAAAAATTCTTGTTATTTTTGAATATGAGTTCCATCATGGAACCAGTGCAGCACAGACAGCTCAAAATATCAACAAAGTGTTTGGGAAGGATGTGGCTAATGAACACACAGTACATCAATGGTTTAAGAAGTTCCATTCTGCTGATTTTAATCTTGAAAATGAGCCATGTGGGTGACCTGAGACCAAGGTGGATAATGATGAGCTGAAAGCTGCAGTGGAAGCCAATCCGTCTCAACCTACACAAGAATTAGCAGCAAGGTTTAATGTTACTATTCCATCAATATTGGACCATTTGGAACAAATGGGTAGGGTAAAGAAGCTGGATAGATGGGTACTGCATGAATTAAACGAGCACCAGAAGAGAAATCATCTCCAAGCTTGCCCTTTTTTGCTGTCACAACATAAAGGCAAACCATTTATACACCCTATTGTTACATGTGATGAAAAATGGACGCATTTTGACAATCACAAGTGTTTGGCACTATTGTTGGAAAAAAAATGAAGTGCTGAAACATAGTCCAAAACTGAATATTCATCAGAAAAAGATCATGGTGTCTGTTTGGTGGTCCGGTGCTGGTATTATCCACTACAGCTTCAAGAAACCTGGTCAATCAATTACAGCGGATGTCTACCACAACCAATTGGATGAAATGATGTGGATGCTTGCAATTAAGCAGCCAAGATTGGTTAACAGGGACAGGCCAGTCCTCTTACAAGACCACATGTCATACAAACAACACTGCTCAAACTACAGAAGCTAGCCTTGGAAGCTCTCTGTTATCTACCGTATTCACCAGACCTTGCACCAATGGACTACCACTTCTTCCAGGCTACAGACCACTTATTTCAAGGAAAACTATTCACCTCTTAACAAGCTGTGGAAAACGTCTTTTGTGATTTCATAGCCACTCACTCTCCAGGCTTTTTTGCTGCTGGCATAAGCAAGCTACTATTAAGATGGAAAAACTGTATTGATAGTTTAGGAACATACTTTGATTAATGGTACAGCTCTTGTTTGAGATATAATAAACTACACATTTGATTCGAAATTGGAAATTTCATATTTAATGACCTAATTTTGGTTTTTTGTTTTGTTTTTAGAGACAGAGTTTTTACTCTGTCACCCTGGCTAGAGTGCAGTGGTGTCATCATAGCTCACTGACTGCAACCTCAAACTCCTGGGCTCAAGTGGTCCTCCTGCCTCAGCCTCCTGAGTAGCTGGGACTATAGGCATGCGCCACCATGCCGGCTAATTTTTTCTATTATTTTTTAGTTGTCCAGCTAATTTCTTTCTTATTTTTTTAGTAGTGACGGGATCTCGCTCTTCTCAGGCTGGTCTTGAACCCCAAGCTCAAGCTATCCTCCAGCCTCTGCCTTTCAGAGTGCTAAGATTAGAATAGGAAAACATCTTAATTTTATAGGTGTGCAACACTATACCTGGCTAATTTTTTGTATTTTTAGTAGAGATGGGGTCTCACTCTTGCTCAGGCCGGTCTCAAACCCCTAAGCTCAAGCTATCCTCCAGCCTCTGCCTCCCAGAGTGCTAGGATTAGAATACGAAAACATCTTAATTTTAAAAGGAAACCTTGGCCATGCATGGTGGCTCACGCCTGTAATCCTAGCACTTCTAGGAGGCCAGGTGGGTGGATTGCTCGAGGTTAGGAGTTTGAAACCAGCCTGAGCAAGAGCGAGACCCCATCTCTACTATAATTAGAAAGAAATTAATTGGCCAACCAACATATAGAGAGAAAATTAGCCGAGCATGGTGGCGCGTACCTGTAGTCCCAGCTACTTGGGGGGCTGAGCAGGGAGGATCGCTTGAGCCCAGGAGTTTGAGGTTGCTGTGAGCTAGGCTGACGCCACGGCACTCACTCTAGCCTAGGCAACAAAGCGAGACTCTGTCAAAAAAAAAAAAGGAACCTTGGCCAGGTGCAGTGCCCATACCTAGAATCCTAGCACTCTAGAAGGCCAAGCCAGGGGGATCACTTGAGGCCAGGAGTTTAAGACCAGCCTGAGCAAGATAGTGAGACCTCATCTCCCAAAAAAAAATTTTTAAAAAACAAATAAAAGAAGACTTTACATACTCATAGTTAATTGTTAGTCTGTTGTTATTGGGAATGGGTTTGATTCCCTGTATGTCCCTCATCTATAATGTAATTGTCTTAAAGGTATCCTTTCTATATATTGAGAATGATACCAAACAATGTTATGATTTTTGTTTAAACCCTCAAACATAATTTTAAAGATTCTGGAGCAGAAGGAAGGTCTGTTGTATTTACTCATATATTTACTCTTTCCATTGTGCTTTCTTCCTTCCTGAGATTCCAAGTTTCTCTCTTTTATCATTTCTTTCCATTTCAAGAACTTCCTTAGCCATTCTCTCAGAGTAGGTCTCCTGGCCATAAATTCTCTTAGTTTTCCTTCATCTGAAAGTGTCTTGATTTCCCTTTCACTCCTGAATTCTCTGGATACAGAATTCCAGACTGACAGTTCTTAGTTATTTTCTTTCAGCACTTGAAAATGTGCTACTTCCTTCTGGTCTGGGTGGCTTCTGCTGTTATGAGAAATCTGCTGTTATTTCAATTCTGCCTCACTTATAGGTAAGGAGTTGTTTTTCTGCTTTCAAGATCTTTTCTAGTTTCTGGGAGTTTGATTGTGATGTGTTATTGTGTGGATTATATAGATTTCTTTTTTTTTTTTTTTTTTTTTTTAAAGATGGGATCTCGCTCTGTCACCCAATGGAGTGGGTGACTCCATTGGAGTGCAGTAGTGCGATCATAGCTCACTGTAGCCTCAAACTCCTGGGCTCGAGTGATCCTCCTGCTTCAGCCTCCTCAATAGCTGGGCCTATAGAACCTATAGGTGCTACTACACCTGGCTAATTTTTTTCTCATTTTTTGTAGAGACAGGGTCTCACTGTGTTGCCTAGGCTGGTCTCAAACTCCTGGGCTCAAGGGATCCTCCCACCTCAGCCTCCCAAAGTGCTGGGATTACAGGCATGAGCCATTGCATCCAGCCCATTGCATGGATTTCTTTGGGCTTATCCTGATTGAGGTTAGCTCAGCTTCTTGAATTTGTAGATTTCTGTCTTTTGCCAAATTTGGTACATTTTCAGCCATGATTACTTTGAATACTCTCCTCAGCCCCTCACTTTCTCCTCTCTTGTGGCACTCTGATAACAGGAATGCTAGATCTTTCTTCATTTTTAAAATCTTTATTACAACCTCATAGATCTCTAAGGCTGTGTTCATTTTTGTTTTTGTTTTCTCTCCTTCTGTTGTTCAGATTGAGTAATTTCTATTGTTCCATCTTCAAGTTCACTAATCTTTCCTCTGTTGTCTCCATTTTCCTTCTGAGCCCATCCAGTGAGTTTTTAGTTTTAGTTATTGCATTTTTCTATTCTAAAGTTTCCATGTGGTTCTTCTTTGTAGCTGCTATTTCTATACTGAGACTTTCTATCTTTTCATTTTTTTCAAAGTGCATTTGTTCATAATGGCTATTCAAAGACATTTTATGACAGCTGCTATAGTAGTTTTCTGTCATTGCTATAACAAATTATCACAAACTTAGTGATTTAAAGCAACACAAATTTACTTCTTATCTTACAGTTTCCTAGTTCATAAGTGACACAGGTCTTACCGGGGTGAGATCAAGGTGTCCGCAGTGCTCCATTCCTTTTTGGAGCCTCGAGGAAAGAATCCATTTCCTTCTTTTTGCAGCTTCTAGAGGCCACTTTCATTTCTCTGTCTTCAGCGTCATAAACAGCAGCTGTTTCACCCTAATTCCGTCCTCACTTCTCTTTCTCTGGCTCCATGCTTCTCTCCCTCTTCCACTTTTAAGGACTCTTCTGAGTACACTGGGCCCACCCAGACAATCCAGGATCATCTTCCTTCCTGCTGCTCAGCAACCTTTTTAATTTTTAAAATTAAACCTTTTTAATTTTTAGTAGTGACGGAGTCTCGCTCTTTCTCAGGCTGGTCTTGAACCCCCAAGCTCAAGCTATCCTCCAGCCTCTGCCTTTCAGAGTGCTAAGATTAGAATAGGAAAACATCTTAATTTTATAGGTGTGCAACACTATACCTGGCTAATTTTTTGTATTTTTAGTAGAGATGGGGTCTCACTCTTGCTCAGGCCGGTGATCCTAATCCCCTTTGCCTACAGTGTGACATACTCATTAGTCCTGGGGATTTGGACATGGACATCTTTGGGGGGTGGGGGCCATTATTCTGCCAACCACAGCTGCTTTAAAATCCTTGTCAGATAATTCCAACATCTCTGTCATCTCAGTGTTGGTGTCTATGGATTGTCTTTTCTCATTCCCACTGAGATTTTCCTAGTTGTTGGTGTAACAGGTGATATGTGATCATATCCTGGACATTTGGGTGGTATGTTGTGAGACTCTGGATCTTATTTGCATCTTCTGCTTTAGCAGGTTTCCCCTGATGCTGTGTCAGTAGGAGGGGTGGGGATGGAGGTCCAGGTGTCCCACTTGGGCTGCACTGATACCACTGGATGGGGGGCAGGGATGTCTCATTTCTTCCCACGTGGCCTCCACTGACATTGCAGAGGGGGGGAGGGTGCTCCTTACTACTGGGAATGACAAAGTCCCAGCTCTCTTCTTGGCCCTCTCAGACACTCCCCTGGTAGAGCTAAGGGACACCTTGGTACAGTCAGGCAAGGGTGGAAGTCTGGGCTCCCCAGCAGCATTTGCTGGGGAAGAGTGAGACTGGGGCCGAATTTTTGTCTGGTGTTTGGCTGGAGTAGGGCAGATGTTGGCTAAAGCTTTCTGTCTCGCTTGGCTGCCCCTTTCCTGGCCCTGTGGCTAGAGAGAGGAGCTTTTCTTGGGGCTTTTTGGTCTCCCCATTGGTGTTCCTGGATTGCTGCTTTCTCTGGCACCCAGTTAGGGGATATGAGTCAAAAAGAAATCCAAGGAACTCACCACAGTGTCATTTCTCAGCTCTCAAATCCCTAGCCATCTGTCATCTTCTTCACCTCTCAGACTTACGTGTGCTTTATATATTCCTGCCCAGGGCTTTTAGCTGTGCTTAGTGGGAGGAGTAGAGAGAAGTGCATCACTTCATCTTGTCCCAGATCCACAAGTGCAGCCTTTTTTTGGTAAAGGATCACTCTGCTGATTTGTGAAGAAATGACTATGGAGGGTCACGCAACGAGAAGACTGCCCCCGGGACCCTGGATTCCCGACTTGTTTGGTCCTGTGGCCCCTGCTCCAAATGTTACAGCCAGTACTAGGAGTGTGGCAGGAAGTGGACCTGCCCTTCTCATGCTCCTCCAGCTCTGGGAAGAGGCCAGTGTCAGGGCACTTTCCCACACAGAGCCCTTGAAGCTCAAGGGAACAGGGAGTTCCCTGAACATTGCTCAGCGTCACAGCCCCTCTCCTCATGGTTTCTGTTACAGGAGCAAATCCAGGCACAGACCTCAGAGGGGCAGGCTTCCTCGCCCTCCTGCACCTGCTCTACCTGGTGATGGACTCAAAGACCTTGCTGTTGGCGCAGGAGATTTTCCGCTTGTCTCGTCACCACATCCAGGTGGGGCTTTGGTGGGAGGCAGAGGGAAGGGCTGTGGAGCTAGGACCTGAGCAGCTAGGAGGGCCTCACAGGTAGACAGCTCCCACTGGGAGGGCTCTCAGGACAGCCGAGGCACACCTGGAATGGGCTCGCCTGTCAGTCTGACCTGTGTCGTAGTCTGAGCTCCACCACTCCTTAGCTATATGTCTCAAGCAAGTCCCTCAACTCCTCAGAGCCTCGGTTTCCTCCTCTGCAGAATGGACATCATAGAATCTGTAGCTAGCTCATTGGGAAAATGAAATCAGATAATGTACAAAAGCACTAGACACAACTGTGAGGTTGCCGTCTCCATTCTCTGCTCTCTCTGAGGAAATCCCCTGCCCGGTATTAGTAGCTTCTCCTGACCCTGAAGGAAGTGATGGAGCCTTCGTGTGCCCAAGAGGAGAAGATTTACCCCCGTGGGTCAGGTGACTCCTGGACTTCCTAACAGGCCGGACATGGCTTCTTTGAGGCCACCTTGGTCTCTGCCCAGATCTGCTTTCTGAGGTTGGGTTTCACAATTTTCCCAAGTAGTAAAAGGTGATAGTCCCTGCATTTTAGAAGACAAATTTGACCTGTTTCCTGCCATCTATCCATCCCAGATTCGTGGGACCTGGGATTCGTTCATTCACTTAACAAACATTTGTTCAGCATCCCTGGTGCTAGTTATTTTTCTTGGTGCTGGAGATACATCAATGGACAAGTCAGGCAAAGATGAGGTCTTGTTATATTGCCCAGATTAGTTAACTCCTGGCCTCAAGCAATCCTCCCACCTCAGCCTCTGGAAATGCTGGGATTATAGGCATGAGCCACCGTGCCTGGCCCCAGTCTGTTTCTTTCTCCTTCACCTGCTGGCCTTTATGGAATTTATCAGGGACTTTTATTTCCTCCACAATATGTATGTGAGACAATAAGAAGCAATAGCAGTAAACAATAACACATTATACACTTGAAAATATAAGAGGCTAGAGCTCATGTTAAGTGTTGTTACCACAATAAAATATTTTTTTAACAAGAAAGAATAACAGGCCGGGCACGGTGGCTTACCGTGCCTGTAATCCTAGCACTAGTGCCTGTAATCCTAGCACTCTGGGAGGCCAAGGTGGGCGGATTGCTGGAGATCAGGAGTTCGAAACCAGCCTGAGCAAGAGCGAGACTCCGTCTCTACTATAAATAGAAAGAAATTAATTGGCCAACTAATATATATAGAAAAAATTAGCCGGGCATGGTGGTACATGCCTGTAGTCCCAGCTACTCGGGAGGCTGAGGCATAAGGATCGCTTGAGCCCAGGAGATTGAGGTTGCTGTGAGCTAGGCTGATGCCATGGCACTCACTCTAGCCTAGGCAACAAAGCGAGACTCTGTCTCAAAAAAAAAAAAAGAAAGAAGAAATAACAGCTTAATACCATAAAATAAAACAAGAAGGTTAGTGTGGGTGTCGGGAAGCTAAATTCTGGTTCAATCTGCAGTAGTATTAGCTGTGACTTAAGTCAAGTCACTTAACCTCTCTGGGCCTCAGTTTGCTCTTCTATGAAATGAGGACTTGGCCTAGAAAATCCTAAGGTCCCTTCTAGCTTTATTTTATGCTTCTTTGAACTATAAGTAATTCCAATTTTATATTTTTTAAATTTTATTTATTTATTTTTCTTTCATGGGAAGGCCAGCAGTACAATTCCAATGTTTTAAAGTGAAACTTGACTGCCAGCCCTCATGCACCTTGAAAACACAGAGTTTTCCAGGAGGCAGCCTGTGAAGTCAGAATAACAGCTGGGGACAAAGCCCTGCCAGTAGCCTGTCCTGTTCTTTCCTAAGGAGAAAGCTGAAGTTTCAGGTGCCCCATGGAATATTCTGCTAGAGAGAATTGGCCAAAAACTATAAATGCTGGAGGGACTCCCAGGCTCCGTCCAGCGCAGCAGTATGGATAGGTTACAGCAGTCTCACCGCGAGAGGCAGGGTGTGCCGGGCTCCTTGCTGGCGGGTAAGGGAGCACTTGATGATAATGCTTGTTCATGGACAACAGTTTAATATAGTTTTCCAAACAGTGTCCCCCATCCTTTCATTCTGTCAACCTGACATCCTGTGAGAGAGGTAGGGCAGAGACGAGCCTTGTCAGTCTCTTCTTCCAGCAGAGGACTGTGTGGGTGAGAGAGGCAGAGTGCTCTGCACAGAGCCGAAGCTGGTAAGTGGGGAAGCTGGGCCTGAACCCCACCTGACCACTGGCTGGGTGTTGGGCCCGTACAGCAGCAATTCCCGCCAGCAGCATACTTCAGAGGTACCTAGGGGTGGGGGTACAGATGCCTGGGCCCCTCACTAGAACTGCGGGAGTGGAATCTTCAGGGGTGGGGCCAGGTTAGCATCAGCCTCCAAAGGTGCTGTGTCTTCTCGCTTCAGCATTCAAAGGTGTCTAAGCCCAAACGTGAGGCATGAGGACAAATGGAATTTTAAATGAAAGCACAAAAATGTCCAGGTTTGATTTCCTCTGCTTTCTTAAAGTCAATTCCTTAAACATAGCCTCAATGCAGTATTTTAGCTCTAAGCAGTGCTTTTTAGGTTTAAGGGAACTGCTGAAGGAAAGGAGACATTTGGATCTAAAATCCAGTTTTCCTCTGCGTTTTGGTAAGTGGACTTTGTAAGAATGTTCCCGAGAGGAGGTGAACACTAGGTTTAGGTCTTATGTTAATTATGTTGCTATCATATTCCCATATCTGGTTTTGTTTTTTTGTTTTTTTTTGGTTTTTTTGAGACAGAGTCTCACTCTGTCAGCCAGGCTAGAGTGAGTGCTGTGGTGTCAGCCTAGTTCACAGCAACCTCAAACTCCTGGGCTCAAGCAATCCTTCTACCTCAGCCTTCCAAGTAGCTGGACTACAGGCATGCACCACCATGCCCAGCTCATTTTTTCTATATATTTTTAGTTGGCCAATAATTTCTTTCTATTTATAGTAGAGACGGGGTCTCGCTCTTGCTCAGGCTGGTTTCAAACTCCTGACCTCCAGCAATCCGCCCGCCTTGGCCTCCCAGAGTGCTAGGATTATAGGCGTGAGCCACTGGGCCCGGCCTGCATATGTGATCTTAATGCTCACAGGCACTGTGTGAGATAGACAGTGGGATAAAATGTAAACTGTTAATAAAACCTATCTCATAGAGTTTTTGTAATGATTAGTGACTTGACTCTGCCCAGCATGGCACTAGTGCTGGTTCCTGAGCCCACTCCCAAGTGTGATGACGCACTGAGAGGGCTCATAGGACTCGATGTAAAGTCGTACTTACAGCTCTGATTTAGTGTGGCAGAAGCAAGATCAGCAAAGGGAAGCAGCGGGTGGGACAATGCATAGGAAGCCAGGTGCTGGTGTCCAAGAGTCCTCTCCTAGTGGAATCACACAGACACACTTCGTTCCTCCACCATCAAATTGTCCAACACATGTAAAATGTTGCCAACTGGGTAAGTTCGTTAGAGATTCAGTCCCCAGTGTTTTCACTGGGGGCTGGTCATGTAAGCATCTGCCTGGCACATACCAAAATTCCAGAGTCCAGAAGGAAGGTAGGTATTCAGCATAAACCACCTTGTTTGCACAAGCAGTTCAGGAACAGTGAGCCATCATCATCAGTTAGGGAATGGTGGGCACCTCCTCAAAATCCAAGTTCTCAGATGCCAGCCATGGGCCAACCTTGTAAGCATGACTTTCTAAGGATGGCAGTCTCAGGCCTGCCATAATATTAATAACTCTCTTCTGCACAGCACTCAAAGTTGATTTCCTTTTTGAATTTGAGAGATGGGAAGGCTGAGTCTCATAGAGGTGGCCTCCTCAAGGACACACAGCTAACAGGTAGCCAGGCCAACATCTGGCATCCATGGAGACCCTGAGAAAAATCTCTGTGGAGCCAAAAGACCTTCTGCAATCCAGCACGGTCCAGTATAACTTTCCTCACTGATGGAAATGTTCTAGATATTGGAAATGCACTGTCCTATAAAGTGGCTACTAAGCACGTGACAAACTGAGCACTTGAAATGTGGCTAGTACCTCCAAGGGGCTCAATTTTAAATTTTACTTAATTTTTAATTCATTTAAATTTAAATAGACCTGGCATGGTGGCTCACGCCTATAATCCCAGTGGTTTGAGTAGCTGAGGCAGGAGCATTGCCTGAGGCAAAGAGCTTAAGATCAGCCTGGACAACATAGTGAGACCCCTATCTCTAGAAAAAATAGAAAATTTAGCCAGGCTTGAGAATACAGGCCTGTACTCCAGGACGTACTCCAGAGACTGAGGCAGGAGGATCACCTGAGCCTACGAGTTTGAGGCTGCTGTGAACCATGATTACACCACCGCACTCTAGCCTGGGTGACAGAGTAAGACCCTGTCTCAAACAAATAAATAATAATAAGTAAATAAATAAAAATTTAAATAGCTACATGTAGCTAGTGGCTACCATCCTGGACAGCACAGTGCAGAGGATTTTTCCTCTCATGGAAGCAGGTAGGACAAATAAACTTTTTTTTTGTTAGGCTCTTCTTCTGTACTAAGGAATGTACATGTTCTTCTCAGTGGATGCCTTTGTGTGTGTGCAACATGGCAAAATAACATGTCATGTCTGCAAAATCCCTGGAAAAATCTCCTTTCCATTCAGAAATCATGCTTGCTTGGTTTTATTGTCATTAAGGAACAGGAAGGAAATTGCCCCCCTAAAAGCAGTAACTCGGACCCTGCAGAGGATTCTGTGGCCTGTCCTGGTGGAGCAGCCCTGCTACACCCAGGCTGCCGCCTCTCGGGAGTGTGCCCTGCACAGCCAGCTCTCAGGCCTCTGTGTTATGGAGAGATGAGTGTGCCGGCAAGTCAAGGCTGACCTCTTCCTTCTTGCATCGTCTCTGCTTTCGGACCAGGTGCCCATGAGCAGCCTGATAATCACCAGCCTAGAGAAGCAAGAGGAGATTTAACTTATAGTTAGATAACTGGGCCTCACTCCTGTGCTCATCCCGCCCCCCAAGGTGGGTGGGCCATTGTTGGCAGATCAGGGGTAGGTCTTTGAAGGCCCAGAGAGCTAGTGGGTCAGATCGATGAAGAGGCTGGAGAGGCAGTGCAGGAGTACCTCAGATAACCTCGGTTGGCCCTGTGGTTCCATGCCTTAGGAAAGCTATTTAAGGTCGTTGAGCCTTAGTTCCTCATCTGTAAGATGGGAAAAAGGTTACTGGGAAAATTAAGATCAGCTGCTGCCTCTGGGCCCCACTACACTGCCGATGACAGAAAACACATAAGGTGAGAGCTGGTTTTGCCACTGACCGGGTGCCCCCTCCATTCCAGCAATTCCCTTTCTGTCTGATGTCCGTGAACATCACCCGCATCACCATCCAGGCCTTGAGAGAGGAGTGTCTCTCCAGGTGAGTCCCCAGCTGCCAGCTGATGAGAGTGACTCAGCAGAGCCTGGTTCATTCCCAACCCTCCCTCATTCTCCCCAGTGCTCCTCCTCCCCTGCTGGCCCTGGAGGTCTGGGACAAAGTCCCTGTGCACCAGCCTCCCCAGCCTGTATTTCCTCCCCACCCCTGACCTCACATGTGAGGCTGCCTGGGGAATGACAGGGGCATAATGGCTTTGGGCTGGCTTCCCTGGGGGAACAGGGAGGGAGGGCAGGAGGGCACCCAGATGTTAGCCCTCGTCATTGGCTGAGCAGGTCACCTCCCTTGTCCTGTAGGGAGTGTAATCGGCAGCAGAAGGTCATCCCAGTAGTGAACAGCTTCTACGCTGCCACTTTCCTCCACCTTGCACACGTCTGGAGGACCCAGCAGAAGACCATCTCAGACTCAGGCTTTGTTCTCAAAGGTGCGCTCTTTCTTCTGGGGAGGCCGAGGCTCCTGCACAACAGTGTGCCTGGTGCAGAGACCCCAGGGTAGCTGCTAGACTGGTTTTCCTCATCCACAGTCTCTCAAATCCCAGCTTGCCCGAGTCTTCATCAGCCCACTCTCTGGAGCAGGGGTCCTCAAACCACGGCCCACGGGCCGCATGCGGCCCGCCGGGTGTTTTTGCCACTGCCTGTCCTGCTTAGCAGCCGACTCGTCCCGGGCCCACAGTTTGCATGTGTGGAATATGCACCGCACTCTCCAATGGTCTGAGGGACAGTGAACTGGCCCTTGGTTTAAAAAGTTTGAGGGCCGGGCGCAGCGGCTCACACCTGTAATCCTAGCTCTCCGGGAGGCCGAGGCGGGTGGATTGCTGGAGGTCAGGAGTTCGAAACCAGCCTGAGCAAGAGCGAGACCCCATCTCTACTATAAATAGAAAGAAATTAATTGGCCAACTAACATATATATAGAAAAAAATTAGCCAGGCATGGTGGTGCATGCCTGTAGTCCCAGCTACTCGGGAGGCTGAGGCAGAAGGATTGCTTGAGCCCAGGAGTTTGAGGTTGCTGTGAGCTAGGCTGACGCCATGGCACTCACTCTAGCCTGGGCAACAAAGCGAGACTCTGTCTCGAAAAAAAAAAAGTTTGAGGACCCCTGCTCTGGAGCCTGCTAGTTCTCTTTTCTCTGTCACCCTCTCCTCCCTTTCTCCCTTATGCCTATGATGTTCATATTTTCTGAGTCCGAAACTGGAAGCTGGGTCAACAGTTGTCCTGGACAGCATAGCCTGTGTGGTCCCTGTGGCTATATCCGGTTCCTCAGCCTCCCTCTCTGGTGATCTCTCCCTGTTAGGTGACTCCATCACCTTTGTCTCCATAGGATAGGGGTGGGGTGCTCCCTAGAGCTGCTACGATTGAGGCCCTGACGATTAAGTCATCTAAAGCCTCCTCAAGCCATCTGTCCCCAATTCTCTTTGTTCCAGACTTGGAAGTGTTAGCCAAGAAGAGCCCTCGGCGGCTGCTCAAGACCCTGGAGATCTACTTGGCTGGCGTGTCTAAGGGACAGGCCTCCTTGTTGGGGGCAAAGAAGTGCTGTGGGCCACAAGCCCCTTACTCCAAGGACCTCACCTTCACAGGTGTCTGTGACCTGCAACCTCATTCATCTGAAGGCACATGGCTGATCTGACTATCCCAGAGACTGACTGATAGACCTAAAGGCTGGGCTGTACCCAGAGGTGCATGGCCAACCATGTCAGGAGCACCCTGGCTGAGCCAGGCCCCTTCCTGTCTCAGCAGGTGGGATGTAGGAAGTTCCTGGGCCAAGTACCCTTCACTCACTGCCATGAGGCATTGGGGCAGGTTGGCTTGACCCCCACCCTGCAGACCGGCCTCCAGAGCAAAGAGAATCTCACCTTAGTCTCAGCTGGGCTGCAGTCTACAGGGTTGGGTACCAGGTTATTTCAATGTGAGTGAATGGATCATGAGGTGGGACCGCCCCATGTGGATCTGTGGATATTCTGTACAAGCCCACGTGGGAAGGAGATGCCCAAGTAGAGGCAGCCAGAATTCTGACTCCCTGGCAGCAGGGCTCTCTGCCAGGTGTCTATGAAGTTAGGACTCGAAGGAGGGAGACAGCAGTGGCAGCCGACAGGGGGCAGCATGACCTAGAGCAAGCTGCCTGGGACCTCATCTGGGAGGAGGGGCTTCCTCTTCTCCATCCACCAGGCGGGTCAGGGCCCCTGGGGGTTTCTGGCCTTTCACTTACCCTACACTCTTCTTCCCAGTCCCTCCCCTCCATTGTTTACCATCTAGAAATGGGCATTTGGCTAGGCATGTCCCATGGCTGCCCTATCCTCACCGCCGGTAAGTTGGGACTTCCTTCTGTAGAGGCTGTACATGTCCTGTGATGGTTTTCTGGCCTGGCTGAGTGAAGTAGGAAATTCACACACCAGCAGTTTTCAACTAAAGGAATTGTTCTAGTTTAAGGGTCTCAAGTGTTTTCTTCCAAGACAAGTCTTGCATCTTCCTGTGGCCTTGTTCCAGAGCCAGGCACACCAGTGGGTGAAGGCACAAGTGGCTTCTGTCCTCATCATGGACTCTGGAGAAAGAAGGCTGCCTGTGCCCTGGCCAGACTCCTGCCGAGTTCATAGAGTGTCTGTCCTCACCTTGGCTATACTCAGTGGCACCTTTCGAGCTCTAGCCAGTGGACACCATAGCCCTGGCTCTTATTAAGATTGACAGACTGGGCAGGGCACGGTGGCTCACGCCTGTAATCCTAGCATTCTGGGAGGCCGACGTGGGTGGATCGCTCAAGGTCAGGGTTCGAAACCAGCCTGAGCAAGAGCGAGACCTCATCTCTACTATAAATAGAAAGAAATTAATTGGCCAACTAATATATATAGAAAACATTAGCTGGACATGGTGGCACATGCCTGTAGTCCCAGCTACTCGGGAGGCTGAGGCAGAGGAATCACTTGAGCCCAGGAGTTTGAGGTTGCTGTGAGCTAGGCCGATGCCACAGCACTCTAGCCCGAGCAACAGAGTAAGACTCTGTCTCAAAAAAAAAAAAAAAAAGATTGACAGTCTGAGCTGGTTCACACAGGGGTTTTTATACATTTGCTTCTGCGGAAGCCTGACTCTCTTGCTCCCTTCATAAAAGGGCTTCTAGGCCAGGGTTCCTGAGCTGGGGAGTGGGAGGCAGGCAAGAGCCCCACTATGCTGCTGTCCTCTGGACTCCCTCAAGTGCAGGTACAGAATGTTGTCCAGCCCTGCAGGCCTTTCCAAGTGTGACCCACTGGAGGTGGGACCCATCACAGAGGTAGAGATGACAGATGGCCACCTAGGTATTGAAGGGAACTCCTGGACTGCTGTTAGCAAGATGCCTCAAGGGTGGGAATCGTGCCTTGTGTCATCTCGGCCTGACCTGAATGGATCCTTCATTCCTGTTACTTCCTCCATCCTGGTGCTCAGCTGACCAGCAGAGATGGCAGGGAGGTTACTGGGCATGGTGGGGGTTGGAAGACGGGAGAAAAGCTGCAGCTGAGCCTCCACTTTGGAGTACGTGTCAGTTCTTGCCCCCATCCCTTTTACCCACTCTGGGACCCTGAGGCTAACTCCCCAGACCCGACTGTGGGTGCTCAGCACCCAGCACACCCAGAGACCAGTCCACATGGGCCCTGGGAGCCTCTAGCTGGAAGGGAAGCCTGTGCCCCTTACTGGGTCATTTCTTCCCAACTCACACCATGTGTTATGCTCTCTGCCCCCAATTTCAGACCTTGGGACCTTAACAATAACATAATCCAGGAATTAAGTTGCAGTTCTGTTGATGGACAGATTGTAGCGGGTGTCTGAACCCTCTGAAAGTAGATGGAAAGATCTTAATCTGTCTATTGTCTTGAGACAAGACTAGGGCTTTTTTTTTTTTTTTTTTTTTTTTTGAGACATGGTCTTGCTCTGTTGGTTAGTCAAGCTAGAGTATAGTGGTGTGATCATGTCTCACTGTAACCTCTAATTCCTGGGATTAAGTGATCTTCCTGCCACAACCTCCCAAGTAGCTAGGACTGCAGGTTCACACCGGGCTAATTTTTAAAACATTTTTTTTTGTAGAAACAAAGTCTCACTATGTTGCCCAGGCTAGTTTTGAACTCCTGGCCTCAAGTGATCCTCCCACCTCAGCCTCCCTGAGTGTTGGGATTACAGGCATGAGTCAACACACCTGGTCAGGCCTAGGCCTTTCATGGGAGACTTAAAATATTCCATAACTCAAAAAATGTTGTCAGAACCACTGATTTCGTGCAACTTGTACTCTCTCCCCTTTTAAAAATCATCCCTAGCACCTGTTCTTTGTGTAGACTGTCGGGTAAAGGCTGGGAAGTCTGTGCAGAGAGGGCAGGGAGGTGGACCCATAGGGGAGCTGATTTCTCTATGCTTCTTGGCACAGAATCAGCAAGATGAATTTGGTTAGCATTTATGGTGGGTTTTGTTTTGTTTTGTTTTTCAGACAGAGTCTCGCTTTGTTGCCCAGGCTAGAGTGAGTGCCGTGGTGTTAGCCTAGCTCATAGCAACCTCAAACTCCTGGGCTCAAGCAATCCTCCTGCCTCAGCCTCCCGAGTAGCTGGGACTACAGGCATGCACCACCATGCCCAGCTAATGTTTTCTATATATATTAGTTGGCCAATTAATTTCTTTCTATTTATAGTAGAGATGAAGTCTTGCTCTTGCTCAGGCTGGTTTTGAACTCCTGACCTCAAGCAATCTGCCCGCCTCGGCCTCCCAGAGTGCTAGGATTACAGGCGTGAGTCACCGCGCCCGGCCGCATTTATGGTTTTGTGTGAGATAGAGGAATCCAGCTTCCAGAGCTCAGTAAGCACACAGCCCATAGGACCCAAGGGTGAGCAAGGGCAGAGGCATGTGAGCTCCTCACGCTCCAGTTCAGGCTTACCTGGGCTCACACCTTGCTCCTGCCTCCCGGGCTGTGCCCCTCGATGGGACCTCTTCTTGGCTACTGCATTCTCCCTGCTATTTAGCTCTTTAGCCTCTTAGAAGTGTCACCACCACCCCACTACACAAGAGAATAAACTTAGGTCTACACAAGGAAAAGCAGCTTGGCCAGGATCAAATAGAGGCAGGGTGAGAACCAGACCCAAGACTCCCTGCAATTAGCCCAGTGCTTCTCCCACAGCCCCACACAGAACATCAGCCAAACACACGGTGCAATGTGCCTGTGAAGCGACAGCCCCGGCTCTGGACAGTCGTGAAAAGTTGTCCTCTCACTCAGCAATCATCTGTCATGTGAAGCTGCTGCCTCGCAGTGGTTTATTAGGGCATCTGAGGAAACACTGGCTTGAGTGGAGCCGAATCCCAAGCCCTTCCACAGCCTTCCCCAGCTGGGAAGGTGAGCCCGAACTGAGCCCAGCAGAAAGCGATCCAGGCCTGGCGCTGCGCCACCTCCCTATTGGATTCACAGCAGTACCTGCCAGCCCCTCTGGGACTCCTCAGTCATGCAAAGCAGCTCGGCTCCTGGAGACTCCAGAATTGTCATCTGTGTCCCACTCGGCCCCCAGCACGGGGATGAACCCAGGTGAATAGGTGAGAAAGTGAGAATCAGCTCAGGAAGGGTGGTGCAGGCAAGGGCAGGGCAAAGCACTCGCACTCATCTCCTTTATTGAACATCTGCAGGGAGCACTCAGCACTGCCCAGGCAGCCAGAGGAGGAAAAAGCAGAAGATGAGGGCAGGGGAGTAGCGGGCAGAGAGATGCCCACCCTTATTTCCAGTCCTTGAAGAATTGCTTGAAGATGGGACTCTCACGGCCCTGGGGCAGAATCTCCACCTGTAAGGACAGTGGGGGAGAAATCTGGTTCAGGTGGTTGCCACCTCTGCCTCTGCCAGGGGGACAGGGGGGCCAGTGTCAGGCACCTGGCCTGAGTCCATGTGCATCCAGGCCAGGGCTGCTCCTCCAGGTGGGCTGAGAGACCAGAAGCAAGATTACAGGGACAGAGACTGAGGAATTGCTTCAAGGATGTGGGTGCACAGTTTGATAGATGCCAGCAACTACAGTTGAGCTATAACTAAGCTTTGTCAGCTCCGCCCTCCCCCCCTCCCCCAATGACTTGTAGAACCACTGTGCTGGGGCCAGGGGGTGGTACCAGCCAAGATTGGGGGTGGCACCAGCCAGGGACGGTGGCCCAGAAAAGAAGCATAGCTGTCCAAAGGTACAACTAGTTCTCTGCTCAAAATCCTCTGAAAATAGCATGTATGCATCTTTAAATTTTGAAAGATTGAGAAGGCCTTTTCCACTGGACGGGTCTGAGAGAAAGGCCTGGTTGTTCTTAGTAGTGCCCAAGTCTCTCCTGCGCTTCCTGGCCAGTCTGAGGGGTCAGAGGCCACAGGCAGAGCCCTAGAGGAGGGTTGGGGCATAGCGTCTCCTTACCTGAGTGTGTGGGGCGTACCGCATGCGGGAGATGAAGCCCTCGGCCACCTGGAGGGCTGCCTGCCGCTCCTTCTCGTTAGCTTTTCGCCCTGGATCATAGGAGAGAGAGTTTTAAAAAGAGCAGGGACCCTCTCTAGCCCCAATTCCATTTTTCTTGAGGAAATTTAAGGAGGCCCACACAATAGCTGGCAATTTAAAAAATAAATGTACCAAGAGGTCTCAAGAATGTTGAGGGGCTCTCTGGAGGTGGAAGTCAGCCCCTTAAGGCTCTTCCCAAACTGGCAGCCCCAAGCTAGATGAAAACTCTTCTTCTGCTGTGTCTGATCAGCAAAACCTGCTCTGACCAGGGCCCCAGGGATATTTCAGGGAGAATGGATGTCCCCCTAGCATCAAACTCTGAGCCCAGGCCCTCCTCCCCGCCAGAACTCCTTGTGTCTTTCGTCCATATTGTACTATTACCAAGACTTTGTTTTTTCTTTTTTAAAAACTAAATAGGACAAAGGGTCCAATTTATTATGAAGGTGAACTTAACTCCTCTAATGCCAGCAAGCATTATGGTTGCTAATGGTTACACTAATGGCTAATGGTAACAGCCTAATGGTTACAGTAACAAACCACTTATAAAAATGAAAATTCCCATGTAATCCATTCACTTGTGCAGGCAGTCCCTCGAACAGAACCTGGACTCCGGTTCCAGGTATTTTTCCAAAGAAACAATGCTATGATCAGTGGTTTCCAGGCTAGGAAAATCCCATGAACTACGCTGCATGAACTACAATGCATCTGAAATTAATATGCTATATTGTGGTATCATGGGTCAGTCCAGCTGCACTCCTACCCATGAGATACTTCTCTTCCTGGCCTCCCAAGTTTCTAGTTTCTCCTCTGGTTTTTCTTTCTATGCCGTTTGGTCCCTTGTTTGGGGTTATATAGGCTTCCGTGGGCCTATGGGAACCCCTCTGTACTTGGCATTGGTTCCATGGGGTAAGCACCCACAGGCAGGAGGGAAAAGGCAGCCCCAGTAGCATAAGGCTCTCTCTTCCCACAATACCCCTCGGAGACCTGCCAGCACTGCCTGCTGCTGCACGCCCCTCTGTTTCACCTCTCTACTGGGTTTAGGAGGCAACAGTATGAATCGCATGGTAACTGCTATCCATAGGCACCTTACCACTTCTCTGTCTTCCTGACCAGGCTGGGGGCTGGCAATTTCTTGGCCTTGGTTGACCCTACAACTATTTATTGAGCAAATGCTATTTCCATCAAGACCCTACAGAGACTCAGAGCAAGTTTATTTCATTTTCAAATAGTCAAACCAAGCTGAACAGGCTTTTGCACGACAGTGTTTCTGTTTCCAGAAGATATAATCTTTTGGAAAAACAAGTTCTACAAGTTTACCACCCACTGCATAAATTGATATTTAATTTATCTATGATTTGTCTCTATCACACCTTATGACAGAATCCCAGGATCAGGGGTTCCAGCAGCCCTGCAGGCCTAAGACCAGTCTAGGACAGTGGCTCTCAAAAGTGAGGTCCCAGTAAGCAACAGCTTAAGCATGCCCTTTAACCTTGTTAGAAACGCATGTTCTTGGCCCCACCTTAGACTGAGTAATGTGGGTGCCTCTGGGGGTGGGGCCCAGCACTCTGTCTGAACAGGCCCTGGGGTGATTCTGAGGCTTCCTGGCAGTTCAGAGTCATAGTCTAGAATTTAGGGAATAGGAACAGCAAAGGGAAACCCACCCCCAACCCGGAGCATGCGGGCTCCCTGAGGCCATCTTTTGCAAGCCTGGGGCAGGCCAAGCCCAGCAATGAGGAGCCTGCTGGGGCCAGAGCGGCAGCAGGCATCTCAGGCTGGTGTGGAGGAGCCACACATACCCTTCCAGATGTAGATCTTGCCACAGAGCCCGTTGTCCAGCACGAAACAGTCATCAGGTATCAGCAGCTCGAGGGCAAAGGGGCTGGAGTCAGCCACCTTGGTGAGGTTCATCTGTCCAGTGGCATCAGAGACCTGGGGAGGAAAGGCAGGGCTGGATCTCACACACCACAGCTGAGGAGGGGGCTGCCCGGCCCTCCTCAACTCCCTCCCACTCTGCCCCTGCCCAGCACCCCCAATCCCTGCAGCACAGAGGCCCTGAGTCCATTTAGAAATAAAGTGGATTCCAAATTACAAAAAAATGCACAGAATCCAAAAGACTAAAGCTCAGTATTGGCCTCGAACCTTCAGCAGGAATGGCCAGAAGGGAAGTGACATTTATCTCCTCCAGGGGCCTGCCATCCACCAACCTCCCATCCTCCTCTGCTCCAAGCCCTGCATAAACCTCGCTGGTTCAGGCCCAACCTCCCCACTGCCTTCTCCTCCTCTGCAGCCCTGCGTGCAGCCAGCTGTGCTGTGCAAGCTGCCACCCATCCCCGCCTGGTCCCAGGGCAGGCCTGGGATGCCCACCTTATACAGAGCCGCGGCCTGGGCATTTGTCTGGTCAGCCGTGAGGTCTTCCTCAGGGTTGCCCTCCTTCAGAGCAGGCTTGGGGCCCAGGACCTGCAGGTGCCAGAGCAGGCCAGGTTTACAAAGATCCCTGCCCCCGAACTCCCCAACCCGTCATGGCCAGGGCCACCACTTCTGGTGGGGCAAACTGTCCTGCACTAGGGCACCCAGCAGAGGTGAGTGAGGGCTGGGTCCAGCCGGCCCCACCAGTCAGGCTGCTGAGCCCTGAGGACAAGCATCCACCCAGAGGAGACACCCTGTGAGCTAACCACAGCCCTGGGCAGTGCCCCAGCCATCCCCTGCCACCTTCCACCAGCCACCCTCATGCCCCCAGCTCATCACTGCCTCTTGGCCACATCCCAGCATTGGCTCCCAGCTGCCCGCTCCAACATCCCCTAACCTGGATCATCTCGGCCGGCTCCTCTCCATCAGTGACGATCTCCACCTGGGCCTTGCCGTGTCGCTCACTGTCCCGTATGGCCAGCGCCAGGTCCCTCGCCTTATTGCGCTCCAGGATGTTGGACTTCCCACCACACCAGGTAAAGATGTTCTGGAGGAAAGCAGTGAGGCCAGGTCAGAGTCAGCTGCTGCGTCCTGCCTCCGCTCAGAGGACGGCCCCTAGCTCTCCCTCTCCTCTCTGAGGAACTGTCCTCTGAGGCAGGACAATCGGGAAGGCAGGGCACACTGCAGAGGGCTCTCTGAGAATGGCCATGACCACACTCTGCAAGAGTGTCTCTCTGCCCACCTGCTATCTCTTGTCCTCTTTTATTTTTCTCTGCATCACTCATAGCCTTATTTTTATTTATTTATTTATTTTGAGACAGTCTTGCTTTGTTGCCCAGGCTAGAGTGAGTGCCATGGCGTCAGCCTAGCTCACAGCAACCTCAACCGCCTGGGCTCAAGCAATCCTACTGCCTCAGCCTCCCGAGTAGCTGGGACTACAGGCATGCGCCACCATGCCCGGTTGATTTTTTCTATATATATTAGTTGGCCAATTTCTTTCTTTCTATTTATAGTAGAGACAGGGTCTCGCTCTTGCTCAGGCTGGTTTCAAACTCCTGACCTCAAGCAATCCGCCCACCTCAGCCTCCAAGAGTGCTAGGATTACAGGCGTGAGCCACCGCACCCGGCCCATAGCCTTATATTTAAACATCTTTATCTCATTTAGAACCTATCTCCCTGACTAGAAGTAAGCTTCATATGGCATTACTTGTTCACTGCTGTGTGCCCACTGCTAAAACAGAGCCTGGTCTGTATGTAGGCACAAAGTAAGTATTTACTGAATGGGTGAGTCCCCAAACCCTGTGTGCAGACCCTCCTCACCCTGCCCCCCCCTGCCCTGGTGACAGCAAGGCAGGAAAGTCCCCTTTATAAACAGCTCCTGATGGATCTTCCTGCCTGGAATCTTCGGCACCCCAAGATGCGGTCCACGCTCCTCAGCCAGACATGCATCTCATGTCCCGGGGCTCACCCTCCTCAGCAATTTTACTCCCTTGCTCCTGTTCCCACCCAGGTCCCGGTCACACTCGACCTCTCCCTGCTGTCTGCATGCATGCCTGCACCTCTCCCCACCTTGGTGCCTCAGCTCGGCCGCTCCCTTTGCCTGGAACAGCATTTCCCCTCTGTTGAAGGTCTAGTGCAATGACACCTTCCTGGGACAGCTGGCTTCAGGTCAGGATAATAGGCCCCTCTCTGCTCCAAGGTCCCTCAGCACATGGCTGCCACGCACCTGAGAACTCTTATCACATCCTGCCATGCATTGTGGAAAGTGACCAACTCATCTTGGCTGCCTCTCCAGGGTGAACTTTTATGGTCCCTGTGCTGGCTCAGGGAAGGTATCATAGATCCACTGAATGAATGGATAAGTGAACACATTAACGAATGGTCTGGCAGGCTGCAAACACAGAGCAAGAAAGGCTTCCAAGAGAAGGAGGTCGTAAGCTCCTGAGTGTTAGAAGCAATGGCTAGACATCAGAGGGAGGCTGGTTTCTGTCCTTGCAAATATAGGGAGTTTTCTAATGGCTGGAGCAGTCCCAGTTGGAATGGACTAACAGCTTCTCAGCCTCTCTCTCCCTTTCCTGGCGTCCTGGTCCCCCGCCCTTGTAAAGGATGGCGCCGATACAGAGCGCTCCAGCTGGCTGGCCTACCCACCTGGCCCAGGTCCAAGATGAAGCAGTCCCCAGTGTTGAAGCTGTCCCAGCTCAGCGCCCGCTCGGTGGCACGGATGTTCTTCTTCCCCTTCACCTGGTAGAGTTTCTTGATAGCCGCTGGGGTGCCTGGGGACGTCTTGTGAAAGGCTGACTCCACACCGCCTTCCTGCAGCACAGACGGCCCAGGGGAGTGGACTGACAGGGGGCCCGGAGCCCTCCGTCCCCAGCCCCATTGGGAGACAGACAGAAAGGTGAGGACCCAGCCCTGTGGACACCAGGAACTTGCGCAGGTGAAGAACTAGCTGGAAGGCAGGCTGGCTCTGAGAGAAGCAGCAGGGTAGGGGTGCCTGGAGGTGGGCTCTGACCTGGTACTTGAGGCCACGGGGGAAGTAGCTCATGAAGAGGTCGGACTCGTTGCCCTGCACCTCGCGGTGCTGCACAGGCCGCTCCCCAAGCAGGGTGTTGAGGTGCACGGCCAGCACAGCGCAGGCGCCCTGCTCATCCCGGGACGACTGCTGGCCTGGGACGGGTGGGAGGTGACAGGGCAAAGCCCTTGAGACCCATGCTAGCCCCCACCCCTGCCCTGGGCCAGGCCCCTACCCATCCCAACCCCCTTACCTATCCACAGGTGCAGATGGGAGAGCTCTTCCGGGCCATTGTGCAGCACTAGGTAGGAGTCCCCCGAGAAGAACACGCCCTGGTTCTCTGGTGCCACCGGCACTGGCTTCAGCTTCTCCACCCGCCACACGTGGAGGCCGGGGTCCTGCACTGAGCCTGGGAATGGAGAGCCACTGTGGGGAGAGAGAGGGTTGGCAGTGGCCTCAACAGCACAGAGACTGGGGCAGGCCTGGGGGCTGGGGTTGAGGAGAGCAGTGAGGAGGGGCAGCCCTTGGACATGAAGAAGAGGAAGGCAAAAAGGAGATGGGTCCACAGCCTACCTCTGGGGGATGGGCGAGTACATGCTGTTTGCTGATCTGGAAAGACAGGAGAAGCCATTATTACTACAAATGCCATAACAACCACCTCTCACGCTGGTCTGGGGAGGCCCTTCCAGGTGGGCAAGTACTTTCACATTTATCAACTACTTCATCTTCAGGAGCCCAAGAGGAGATTATCCCTGGGTTCCATTATGCAGGCAAGGAAAACAAGGCTCAGAGAGTCCAAGTTCAAAGCCACAAAGCTAGTGAGTGGCTCACAGAAGCCAAGTCTCTGATCCCTGGGCCAGTATATTCCCCCTGCCATGACCTGTCAGCCACACCTCTTTCTGCTTCAGATGCCCTGACTCTGGGTATTGCATGAGGCTGGGATGCAGCCCTCTAAGCAAGAACTGCTTGTATTAGAAAAGCCTAAAGTCAGGCTGGGTGCGGTGGCTCACGCCTGTAATCCTAGCACTCTGGGAGACCGAGGTGGGTGGATTGCTCAAAGTCAGGAGTTCGAAACCAGCCTGAACAAGAGCGAGACCCCCATCTCTACTGTAAATAGAAAGAAATTAATTGGCCAACTAAAAATATATAGAAAAAATTAGCCAGGCATGGTGGCGCATGCCTGTAGTCCCAGGTATTCAGGAGGCTGAGACAGGAGGATCGCTTGAGCCCAGGAGTTTGAGGTTGCTGTGAGCTAGGCTGACGCCACGGCACTCACTCTAGCCTGGGCAACAAAGTGAGACTGTCTCAAAAAAAAAAAAGAAAGAAAAACCTAAAGTCAAGAACTTAAGCTCCCACCATTAGAAAAAAAAACCACAGGATAAGGAAAAGCAAATGAAATCCAAACTAATCAGAAGATAATAAAAATGAGAGCAGAAATTAATAAACAGAAAGAAAATCAATAAAGCTGGTTTATAAAAAATAATGTTCTACTTTCCCCCCTCCTCACTACTGCACTTGACTAGTCTTAAAAAAAAAAAAAA